CAACCCCCTTCCCCCAGATTATTCTTGCCATTCTTCAAAAATGTCTTGCACTTCTTTGCCTGATGACCATCTCTTTGTCCTTTAGAAAGTCCCTTGGTTGTCACCTACTATGGAGAGTTGACCCTAACTAGTTTTCTTTCCTTCCTGTTACCAGCAACTGGGGTCATGTGTTCCTTCCACAGCTCCCTGCCAAAGCACTGTGTGGTAATTGCTTGTTCATATGTCTGTCTGCCCACCTGGGGGGACCAGGCTAATGTAGGGTGGAGAGAAGGCTTGTGGATGTGAAGGCCAGGACTGTGGCCTTTGTGCCTGTGGAGATTGCTCTACCCTCTTCCTATTTCACAGATAAAACAGAAGCAGCTAAATGTGCATCACGGCTTGCCTGGCCCAGCCCTCCCCACTCCTGTTAAGAGCCCTCTGTCAGTAGAGTATGGTGGCTAATGCCTGTAATCACAGAGGCTCTGGAGGCTGAGGCAGGAGGATCTCAAGTTCAAAAGCCCCCCTCAACAACTCGGTGAGGCAATAAGCAATTGCCTGTCTCAAAATTAAAAAAAAAAAAAAATTAAGGGCTGGGGATGTGGCTCAAGCGGTAGCACGCTCGCCTGGCGTGCGTGCGGCCAGGGTTCTATCCTCAGCACCACATACCAACAAAGATGTTGTGTCYGCCGAGAACTAAGAAAAAATAAATAAATAATTCTCTCTCTCTCTCTCTCTCTGTCCCCCTCTCACTCTCTCTTTAAAAAAAAAAATTAAAAAGGGCTGGGGATGTAGTTAAGTGTTCCTGGGTTCAATACCTGGTATGAAAAAATAAATAAATAAATAAAACCCTCTTGTTTCTTTTGCTCTGATTTTTCGACTCTTCCATGCACTTTCTCAGAAACCCTTTTCTCCTCTTTGGCTGTTGGACTCATCCCATAAGCCTTTACACAAGCTTCAATCACTCCTGCCTTGAGAGGTCCTCATTTTGTGCCCATTTCTACACTTACTCCCCAGTTACTTCTCCTTTCCAACCAGCTCCAAAACGTGTCCCTGGTCTCCCAAGGAAATCTCCTCAACTTCCACCCCCACCACCCAAACCTTCCAGTCTGGCCCCTCAAATGGCTCACACGGAGGTCTCTCATAATGTCCTAAATCTGTTACATGGGAGTGGATGGAGACATTCTTCCTATGGAGACTCCCATAATGCCTAAGAGTGGGCATGGTGTGGGAAATCCACCAGCCCCTCCCTAGAGGTAACCACTGTCAGTGGCTCCGTGTGTGAACTTTGGGTCCCACCTTTATACCTCTACCTACCTACAGCAGAGCAGCACTTACAACAAATCATGTCCTGAGACCTGCGTCATTTGGCAAATTCCTGTGGAAACATTGCTGAGTGTATTTACACAAGATGGGTCACTCAATGTGGCCTTTTGATGCAATCAGGGATATGGAAAAGAGGATGTAGAAGGTGGGCCCTGGCATCACAGCACACTCTTAATGGGAAACTTTTTGTTTTTTGTTTTAATAAGCAGGAGTACAAGCTGGGCGTGGTGACTCATACCTGTGATCCCAGCAACTATACTTTGATGACTGCAGAGCAGTAGATTTGTTTATAGCAGCATCACGGTAATGTGTGATAATGTGTTATGTTAAGCATTAGGACGTTACCATGGCTACACCATCACTAGGTGACAGGAATTTCTCAGGTCTGTGATAACCTTATAGGATCACCATCCTATATGCTATCCATCATTGGTTGAAGGGTCCTTGTGTCGGGCATGACTGTGCATGTATATAAACACACACAGGCCCCCACACTGATTTGGGATTTTACATGAGGTTATTCCATACATTTTTTTTTTCTGTGACTCTCCTCTTACATTTAATAACACATCCAAGTGCTCTTTACACCTTAGGACTCTATGGATTTGCTAATGTTCCTTTTTTTTTAAGTCAGGAAAAGACTTGAATAAACAGTATCATATTATCGAGTAATATTATGAAGCGAAAAATTATTTATGAATTGTGGCAAAATACACATGACATAAAATTTAGCACCTTAACCAGTCGCATGGTATTAAGGACATTCACATTGTTCTGTGGCCACCACTGTCATTTATCATCTTGCAAACTCATCTCTATGCATCAAACGACAATTCCCCGCCCCCCACTCCAGTTCCTGGAAACCGTTATTCTATTTTCTATGTCTATGTATATGGCTACTCTCGGTACCTCATGTAAGTGTTTAGCCTTTGGGAGCTGCCTTATTTCATAAGCATAGTGTCCTCAATGTTATATATAACATGTGTCAGAATTAATTAATTAATTTGTTAATTAATTAGTTGATTTTCAGCTCTGGGGATGGAATTCAGGCCTAGCAAGGACTCTATCACACCCTGAGCCACACCCTAGCCCACATTTTTATTTATTTTGGGGTACCTGATACCCAGGGGTGCTTAACCACTGAGCCTCATTCCCAGCCCTTTTTTCCTTTTAATTTTTTATTTTGAGAAAGGGTCTTGCTAAGTTGTTAGGCCCTCACCAAGTTGCTGAGGCTGGCTTTGAATTTGAGATACTGAGATCCTCCTGTCTCAGCCTCCAGAGTCGCTGGGACTATAGGTGTGCCCCACTGGACCTGGCTCTACCTTTTCTTCTTCTTTTTTTTTTTTTTTTGGAAAGAAGCGGGGGGGGGGGAGAGAGAGAGAGAGAGAGAGAGAGAGAGAGAGAGAGAGAGAGAGAGAGAGAATTTGTTAATATTTATTTTTACTTTTGGGCAGACACAACATTTTTATTTGTATGTGGTGCTGAGAATCGAACCCAGCGCTGTGCACATGCCAGGCGAGTGCGCTACCGCTTGAGCCACATCCCCAGCCCCTCTACTTTTTCTTTTTAAGGCTAATTATATTTGAGTGTGTGTGTGTGTGTGTGTGTGTGTGTGTGCGCGCGTGTGTATACATCACATTTAATTTATTCATTTATCTATTGTCGGATCCCTTGTATTCTTTCGACCTTTTGGCTATTATAATTAATGTTACTAAAAACACACATGTGCAAACATCTGTTACAGGTTCTGCTTTCAATTTCTTTGACTATATACCTAGAAGAATTTCTTTATCATATATCAATATTTTGAGGAACATCTTTCTTTAATATTTTTATTTTTACATTTATGTGGTGCTTAGGATCAAACCCAGTGCCTCATGTATGAGAGGCAAGCACTTTACCACTGAGCCACAACCCCAGCCCCACCTTTCCTTTTAATACCTGCATTATGATGTCTTAATATAAACCAGTCACATATCTACTGATAAACACTGAAGTCATCTTAATGATATTTTTTCTCATTGTAAACAATGCTGCAGTTAATATCTTTAAGGTATGTACGTGTTTGCACAAATGTACATGTGCTTCTGTGGGAAGATTCCTAAAATGGGAATGTTGAGTCAAATATATGCACACATTTTAAAGAGCATATCTTCACACACCTGTAGGCCCATCTACTCAGGCAGCTGAGGCGGGAGGACCACTTGAACCCAGAAGTTTGATACAACCTGGACAATATAGCAAGACCCTGCCTCAAAAAACAATAAACAAGCTGGGTGTGGCTGTGCATGCCTGTAATCCCAGCAGCTCAGGAGGCTGAGGCAGGAGGATTGTGAGTTCAAAGCCAGCCTCAGCAATGGCAAGGCGCTAAACAACTCAGTGAGATCCTGTTTCTAAAAAAAAAATACAAAATATGGCCGGGATGTGACTCAGTGGTTGAATACCCCTGAGTTCAATCCCCGGGGACCTAAAAAATAAAAATAAAAACAAATTTTTTAAAGGGCTGTGGATGTGGCTCAGTGGTTAAGTTTTCCTGGGTTCAATCCCTGGTACCAAACAACAAACAAACAAAAACAACTCACAAACCAAGTTAGGCACATTTTAAAGTTTAATAGTCATTGTCAAACTATTGTCTAAGAAGTTTTCACCAACATACACATTTGTTTGTTTTCTTGCAGTATAGGGATCAAACCCAAGGTCTTGAACATGCTGGGCAAATAAATGCTCTTCTCACTGAGCTACCCAATCTAGCCCACTGACACCTGGGCTTCTCCTCACCATATTTTGCCTGTGTCTACCTGCATCCTGTCCAATACTCTACACTATCCATTTTTAAAATTTTTATCAGTATGACAGTCGTGGGTTTTTAACTCTCCAGCCTGCCCCTATTCCCACAACAGAAGCAGGCCTTTTCACAGTTGGTAGTTTTGTTCACCATTTCCCTTACTGGTAGTGAAGCAGGACATCTTTTCAAATATCTGTTGGCTGTTTGTATTTCTTCTGTGATTATCTTCTTCAATTCTTTGCCCACAGCCATTCTCCGTTCTCCCTTTATAGGACCCTCTGGGGGCCTTCGCCACTGATGCCAGTTATAGAATTTTAGGTTTGAAATGATCTTCTGTGGAATTCTGCAGACAATGTTCAACCGCCTTTTAGAATCCGTGGTTGCTACTGAAAAGCCCCAATGCCATGCTGATTCCTGATCCTTATTCTGTGACCTGTTCTTTTCTAGCTGAAAGTGCTTTGGATCTTCCCTTCACCCCATACTCTGAAATTTCACAATGTACCTGCCCCTGGGTCTCTGCATTCATCTTACTTAGGCACCTTCTAATCTAGGGACTTGAGTATTTCACTGACAGGACATTGTCTTGGTGTTTTTCCGTTTTTAAAAATAATTTCTCTTCCTTTGTTCTCTTTGAACTATTTTTATTGGATGGTAGACTTCCCAGATTCACCCTCCAAGTCTGTCTTCTCTCTTTCTTCTTTCTCTTGATTTTGATTTATCACTCTGCTATTGGGTTTTTAATTTCAGCTGAGAGCTTTCAGTTCTCAGGGCTTTCTCTTGTTTTCAGATTGATTGTTTTTCATGGCCCTCTCGGAAGAATACCAAGGGAGGAGGGCCAGGGGAGTGTAAGAGTGGCCTGGTCTCCTCACTGTACCCTTTCCCTGTCCCCTGAGGGCCGCCTCTGAGGTCCCTCATGGCTCCTCCAGTTTGGACTCTGGTGCTGCTTGTGGGGGCTGCCTGGGGCCAGGCTCCCTTGCCCGCCCCTATCTGGTAAGCTGGGCTCAGAGGTGGGTGATGTATCAGGGGGTGGCAGAGGCCTGGGAGGAAGGCAGGGAGCCTGATGGGCTGGGGAGAAGTTACCTTACAAGCAGGGAGAGCACTGATCCTTGAGCCCCAGAGCGTGGAATTGGGGAGAAATGAAGGAGGGTACAGAGCTAAGGAGACAGACTGAGGCTGGGAGAGGAGGAGAGGCAGGTCAGACCCTTGGAAAACAGACAAAACTCAGAGTAGGCCCAACTGATAAGTGAGACTTCAAATAGGAGGCATCTAAGAAATGATGGATGTTGCCGGGCGAGGTGGCACACACCTGTAAATAAGCAGATAGGGAGGCTGGGGCAGGAGGATTCTAAATTCAAAGCCAGCTTCTGCAACTTAGTGAGATCCTAAGCAATTTAGCAAGATCCTATCTCTAAATAAAAAAATATAAAAAGGGATGGAGATGTGGCTCAGTGTTTAAGCACCCCTGGGTTCAATCCCTAGTACCAAAAAGAAAAARAAAAAAAAAAAAAAAAAAAAGGATGGTGTGGTGTCCTGGCGCTGGTGGGTAGGGATGGGGAAGTGGGCTGAACTTGAACAAAGAAAAGAAAGGGCTGTTCTATGTGGGGCAAGAGCCTTCTCTGTGGAATTGGTGAGGTGAGGAGGAAGGATCAGGGAACATCTTTGTTGCCCATTTATATGTTCAGTCGGGTGTAGCTGGCAAGATACCACCCACTACCCACTAGCAACCTGGGATCCATGCATCTCTACTCTCTGGGCAAAAACTTGGGCTATCTAAAAAAAAAAAAAAAAAAAAAAAGACCTCAACCCAAAGGAAAGAGACCCCAGTGTGAAAGCCAGACACTGCATGAGAATTCCCACGCCCAGGAAACCGGGTCTGCGATGGGAGGAGGTAGAGGAGGCCTGCTTCTTAGGAGAGTGGGAAGAACTTTAGGGGAAGAGGCTGAAGGTGACYTTCCTGAAATCCTGAAGAAGACAATGCACGCTGACTGTGTGAACGCTGACATACTCAGGGAAAAAAAGAGAGAAAAAAAATTGCCCGTTCATGACTGCTCAGAGAACTCTCAATCAGAGTCTTCTAATTCTCTGGAATAACAAGAGTGATATTTTTGCTTTTTCCAAACCAATCCCAAGGACACAGAAGCCCCAGGATTTGAAACCTGCTGCTCTCAACCCAAGGGAGAAAGGTGAGTTGGAACCCGGATGACTCAGGCCTCCTCTCCCTCCCTAGGACTGAATGCTAGTCCCTAGCCCAGGGTGGCCATTTTTAGTTATCCTTGGGATAGGGCAGTGGCATAAACATGGGACCATTGTGCAAAGGGAGGCCCTTGGACGACAGAGGGCAGAGGGAACGGTGGGGCAGAGCTTCATGTTTATAAGGCAGAGAAAGGAGGGGACAATGGAGCTTTTCCTGAAAGGAGGCAGCTCAGGAAAGGGGTGCAGTCTGGAGTCCGAATTCTTGAATTCCAATCTCAGTCCTATGATGACAACCTTGTTGTCTGGCCCATTCCATTCCCCAGCCCTGAATTTCTCCCCAAAGATCTGTCTCCCAAATCTCTGCTTTGGATCCCCCAATCTTAGTGACAGCCTTCTCTAAGTTTAGTGACCCTGCTGACCTCCATCTCCCAGGGTGGGTCTGTGGTCTTGGCCCCTGCCCTCTGCCCTCTGCCCTCTCTGAGGCCTCACAGGGGCTCTTTCTTTCCAGCCATTATCTCCCAGTGTGATTTTGACGATAATTCCAAACCCCTCTGTGACTGGTCCCAAGAGTTCACTGATGATGGGGACTGGATCCGAGCCAGTGGTCCCTCCCCATCTGGCACCAGTGGGCCCCCTGGGGGGTACCCTAATGGAGGTGAGGGGTCTGTGGGAAGCCTCAGGTTTAGGGAGGGCAGATGGCAGGGGTCAGCAGGGAGCTGGGCACAGGCCAAGGGAGGGGGTGCTGCTGAAGCCTCAGGCACACCTGGGCTCTGAGCAGGGGGTGGGAGGGCAGTGTTGGGGACCAAAGGCTCCAGCATCCTGGGCTCTGCCTCCCCAGAGGGCTACTATCTGCACATGGATTCCAACAACTTCCGTCAGGGTGGAGTGGCCCGCCTGCGCAGCCCTGACATATGGGAGCAAGGCCCATTCTGTGTGCGCTTCGCCTACCACATGTTCGGGCTGTCATGGGGCTCCTGGCTCCGACTGCTGCTATTCATGGGCAAACAGAACAATCGCCCCAAATTGCTCTGGAAACACACAAATACCCAGAGCCCTTCCTGGATACCTACCTCCATCACTGTGCCCGCAGGACTCAACCTGCCCAGCTGGGTGAGGCCGAGGGAAGAGCCCCAGGGCCATCTGTGGGGGGGGTGGGAAGGGGATGCCAGGGGTATTGGAGGACCCAGAGGGCTGGGGCAAGGAGGGGGTGTGTGGTCCCTGCCATCTGAATTCAGGAAAATCAGGAGCTAAAGGCAAAGGGACAGGAGGCCTGGCCAGGGGGCTCACAGAATCAGGGATTCCCTTGTCTCCCATCCTGCAGCTGACGTTTGAGGGGATGAGGGGCAACACTCCCTACTTGGACATCTCCCTGGATGCCCTCGCTATCCATCGGGGAACCTGCAATAGGGGTGAGTCCCTCTCCCTCCCTCTCACATGCTTCTTTCTTCCTGGCCTCTGCAAATCTATTTTGGCTCAGCACCCAGGTTTCTCATGAGTCAAGACTACTGGCTTCCTTCTGCTACCTCACCCCACACCTCTGATTCCTGAAGAAGCCATACCTCAAGGAAGGTGCTCTTCCAACATGCAGTTGTGGGGATACCTTGTCTAGAGTGACCAACCAGCCTGGCTTTCCCTGTCTCAGCACTGAAAGTCCTGCATCTCAGAAAGCCCTCCCTTCCAAGAAAACCTGGACATTACCACCACAATCCATCTAGTATTAGATGGATCTTTCTAAACTGACCCTAGAGATTGGAGAAAATTCAAGGAAAGGAAAATTTCAGAAGCTGGGTGAAAGGAATCAACACTCATTAACCAAAGGGACTGGACTAAATGCCCCATGCTCATAATCTAACTGACGACCCTAGGAGACAGAGGGGCACTGTCATTCCCAGTTTATAGATGAGAAAACTGAGGCTTGGGCAGGTCAAGTTACCTGTGTCAGGAACGCGGCCCATAGGCAAGGGGCCATGTCTGGCTGGAAAGCCAGCCACGGCTCATCATAGATCTGAGATTGGAACTCAAGAATTTTCTGACTCCAGACTACATCCCTATCAGAGCTGCCTCCTTTCAGAAAAAGCTACATTGTCCCCTCCTTTCTCTGCCTTCAGTATGCATGATGCAAATGTGCAGTTTTGACACGATGAATGATCTCTGTGGCTGGAGCTGGATCCCATCTTCCTCTGGGGCCAAGTGGACACAGAAGAAAGGGTCATCAGGGCAGGCAGACGTGGGACCTAATGATGACTTCTCCAGTCCTGGGAGTGAGTACTGGCCATGCTTTTGTCCTCGGGGCTTTCTAGGCTCTAGTGACCTCTGCACGCCCTACAATAGCTACCATGGGTCTGTGTAGGTGAACCAGAGCAGACTCAAGCCTTTTTCAGCTCAGGTTTCTAGAAGCATGCTCTGAGCACCCCCAGCTTTCCCACTAGCTCCACCTGGTGGACCCAACACAGCCTGCTCCTTACCTCCTTTCTTGGCATCTTTCCTTCCTTCCTCCATCCTTCGATATTTACTGAGCACCTACAACATGCCCGGCAGGGTCTTAGGCTTTTGAGAATCAGTATGCAAAACAGACAGGGAGTGGTGTTGGTGAGGAACAGGGAGACAGATATCAAAACAAAAAAGGAAATTACAGTAAATGACAAAGTTTTGGTGTGACAAGTGCTTTGGGAAAAATCAGTTAAATAAGGGAAAAGGATTGTGGAAGTACAAGGGTAGGAAAGTTGTGAATTTTAACTGGAGTGACCCGGATAGGTCTCCTTCAGATCACAGCTGAATACACTTGAGTTGAGGGAATGAGGCATGAAAATATTAGGAGTGTGGAAAAACATTCCAGACAGAGAAGCCTGCCATGCAAAGGCCCTGAGGTATCCCAGGCCAAGAGGGAAGAAGAGATTTGAAGTATAGCCATGGATCTAGAATGAAGAGACTTAGCTCAGATCATAGGAAAGGCAAATCATATGGAGCCTTGAAGGCCATTGTCAGGACTATGGCATTTATTCTGTGTGAATGGGAAGGGGGCTTTGTAGGATTTGGAGCAGCGGTGTGACTTGATCCGATTTATTTTTGTAGTGCTGGGGGTGGAACCCAGGACCTCTCACACTCTAGACAAATGCTCTACCATTTTGTTAAGAAGCCACTGAAGGGCTGAGACTGAAGCTCAGTGGTCGAGCACCTGCTTAGCACGTGGGAGGCACTGGGTTTGATCCTCAGTACCACATAAAAGTAAAATAAAGGTATTATGTCTATCCACAACAAAAAGTATTTTAAAAAGCAAAAGAAAGGATTAATTTTTTTTTAAAAAAAGGAGCCACTGAAGAGAACCCGCAAGAGTAGCCGTTGGAGGATATTTGGGGGGTTTTATTTAGCAGGAATCCAGGCAATACAGTCTTCCTGTTTTTCCACCAAATGCTACATCATGCTTCTTTTCCCACCATCTCTCTGTTCTTTTGCCTGGGGTTTTCCTTCCTCTTCCTGCTGTTCACTCCTTCCCTCTCTCTCCCTTCTCATCTCCTCTCTCTCCCTTCTCATCTCCTCTCTCAATCTTCTCCACACAGCCCACATTTCCAAGCCTTCAGGGCCCAGCTTTGAAGGTCCAACAGAGCTCACGGGCCCTCATTTCCTTTCTGAGAGTCCACTTCTTGTTTCTTCTCAGGCCTCTCGTCCCTTCCTTTCTGCCAGCTCGCCTTTGCATCTCTCAGCATCGTGTCCCATGCCTAGCAGTTTCAGCAAACGCTGTTTTTCTTTTAGTTTCTCTATTTTTTAGTTTTATCCATCTTGCTCCCATATATAGATATATAAATTTCTTCCTTCCTTCCCTCCCTCCCTCCCTCCTTCCTTCCTTCCACCTGAGCCACATTAAGGCAGGGTCTAAGTTGCTTAGGACCTCGCTACATTGCTGAGGCTGCCTTTGAACTTGGGATCCTCCCGCCTCGTCTTCCTGAGCCGCTGGGATGGATGACGAGCGTCTCTTTATTCTCTTCCATTTCTCACGTCTCCTCGCTCTCTCACTCAGTTTTCCCATTCCTTTCCTTCCAATTGTTTCCATCCTCTTCTCTGCTGTCCCTCTCTGGCTTGTTCCCTTACTTTAGCCTCCTTCTCTGCCCGCACTCTCCATCGCGCTCACCGAGGGGGACGCAGCGGGAGGCTGGCACCTGAACGCACGCATGCGCGGTTGGCACGTCCGCAGCCCCCACCCTCTCCCGGCTACTCGTTACGTCACGGAGTGAACTTCAGGCTGATTGGCTGCCTGAGGGAGCGGATGCGGGGCGGGGGACCTGCGTGCTCTCGTGCGTCGGTCTGGCCCTTCTAACAATTTGTGCGAATGGCTGTGTAAAAAGAGGGCTCGAGGGGTCAGCATCCGAAGCACTAGATTTCGGAGGCTGCTTCTGAGAGGATGCCCGTGTTTCCTAGGGCGGCGCCCTCGTCCTTATCTAGTCCAAGCACTCGAGGGAGGGTGGAAGGCCTCAGCCAGTCGTGACTTGGGGTACGCCCACCTCAGCGCTGCCTGATTCTAGGTGGCTGTTGGGGTTCCCCAGGACCAGGTCCCCATCTCAGGTGGGGTCCTACCCCTGCGTAATACCCCCTTCAATTCCAGCCACCCTACTTTATAGGACTTTTCTTTCATAGATGGCCTCTACATGCTCCTGGACCCCAAAAATGCAAGGCCGGGGCAGAAATCTTCCCTCCTGAGTCCCCCGAGCCGCTCCAATGGCTGTCTGACCCTTTCTTTCTACTATATCCTGCGGAACCGGTCTCCTGGAGCAGCCCTCCTGGTCTACGCTTCCACCTTGGGTTAGTGGCGTAGGGGTGGGGGTGGGGGGGTGGGAGGGTGGAGGATGCATTGGATTTCCACTAGCATCTCCCAAGGTTGGGTTGATGGGGAAATAAGCGGGAAGGGAGGAGGAATGTCTCAGGTCTAGGGAAATCTAAGATATGTGGGAGATTTTCCATGAAGTGGAAATGAGGACACTGGATTCTAGAAAAATGGATACATAGAGAGGGAGAGAGAACTGTTTACATTTGGGGCAGCGTGCTTAAATATTTCTTTTGCAACTCACCCTTCTGGGTATAGGTTTGAAGTCATTTTTCAGCTCCTCTAAGCTCACTTCTCTCACCAATTTTTCCATTGTAGGCAGCATCCGGAAACACACTCTTTTTTCAGGACAACCTGGACCCAACTGGCAGCCTACTTCTCTCAATTATACAGGACCGGGACAGATACAGGTACAGAGGATCATGGAGTCAGATCTTTGCACATGGTAGGTACTCGCAAGGCACCAGGAGCAGAGGCCCTGGGTCTCTGAATGGAATAAGGTCAGATCCGGAGCCAAGTTTGGTGGCACAAGCCTGTAATCCCAGAGGCTGGGGAGGCTGAGGCAGGAGGATCTCAAGTTCAAAGCCAGCCTCAACAAAAGCCATGTGCTGAGCAACTCAGTGAGACCCTGTCTCTAAATGAAATTCAAAATAGGGCTGGGGATATGGCTCAGTGGTTGAGTGCCCCTGAGTTCAATCCCTGGTACCCACCCTCTCCCAAAAGAAGGATCAGTTTGGGCTTTGGAGGGCTGAGGGTTTGTCCTGTGTACTTACTCCAGGCCCATTCTCTCTCTCTCCAGTTTGCCCTGGTGGGTGTGTTTGGAAGGATCCCAGAGCCAGCGGTAGCAGTGGATGCAGTCAGCCTTGCTCCCTGTGGGGGTGAGAGCAGGGCTCTGGGAGGCCCCCTGGAGTTGGGGATGGTAGGGACAGCAATGGAGAGCACTGCCCCAGTTTCTCAAACCTCCCTCTGGACCTACTAGACAGCTTTCCTCAGTGCAACTTTGAAGACAAAGCCCGTCCCTTCTGTGACTGGACCCATAAACCAGAAAGTGGCGGACAGTGGTCCTGGGGAAGTAGAACTATTCTCAACAACATCACAGGCCTTGTGGGTGAGTTCTCTTATCAAGGTGAGGAGATTGAGGACCTCTCAACTCAGTGAATTGCTGAATCTGCAATTGATGGAGGACATTGGAGGTGGTGAAGGGGAGCCAGCAGTGTTTATTGGGAAACTGTTATGGGCCCAGAGCTGAAGAGATGACAGTAGACACAGTTAAGGGTTCTCATGGCTGTAGGATTACTGCAATTCCCTAAGAAAATGAGTCCTCCCACTTCATTAAGTCTAAGCCTTCAAAACTGACAATCTCATATCTCAGCCGAGGCATTGATGGGTGCATTTATGGAGTCTAGGTTGCAGGTTTTGTTTTTTCCCCCCATATTCTCCAGTTAGAAATCCAAAGTCAGTAGGAAACAATGCCATCATGTGAGGTGTTTGGTTACTTGCTCAGATGCCCACTTAGAAAGCCAGAAATAGCAAGTAGACTTGCTGTTGTGCCGGTGTCTCATCTTGCTGGCTCCCCTCTTTTTCCCAGGGAATCATTTTATCTACTTTGAGGTGGACAAGGTCTCCAAAGCAGGGCAGTCTGTCAAACTGACCAGCCGGCCCTTCTGTGCCCCCGGGGATATCTGTGTGGAATTTTCTTACCACATGAATGGCCCTGGAGAGGGCAGTACACTCATTCTCCTGCTGAGCAGCCCTGCTGGAAGTTCCCCTTCTTCTCTGTGGAACCGTGTTGGGCCCCAGAGCCCTAGCTGGCTCAATGCTTCTACCACCATCTCTTCAGGACACCGGCAGCCCATGCAGGTGAGAGATGGAGAGTGGGCCCCGTATGTGTCTGCATGGCCTGTGGTAAGGGGATTCAGAGCTAGGTGTGGGACTGAGAAGGTGGAAAGGGAGCAGAGAAGAGATGCATGAAGGATTCAAGGCCCTGGGTAGGTTGGACCGTTGGGGTGCCAACAGGTAGTGGACACGCCTGGCAGAGTTGTTGAGTTGCCATGGAGTCTTTTCATTTCTCTCTTCAGCTTATTTTTGAGGCCATCCGGGGTAGCAACCCCGCTTTTATTGTTGCTGTGGGTTTCATCTTGATCGGTCAAGGTTCTTGTCGAGGTAAGACAAAACCCTGGGCTCTAGGAAGGGTGCTAGGCCCTGGCATGATCACCCTGGCTCCTCTATAGGAGCTGTGTAAAATGCAAGTTCTCTTGTGCCTAGGACTCACATAGCGGATGTGTGTTTCTATGTCCTTCCCACCTCTACTGTCCCTGTACTGTCAGGATGCTTGCTTGAGCGAAGGTGTCTTTGATGCCATGAATCTCTGGAGCAGCATCCAGAACGCTTTCCCTAGTGATCCTATAGGCAAGACCTGTAGACTGGACAGGTCTTTCCCCTCCTCGTCATTTTTGTGTTTCCCGTACCTGGCACAAAGCAGGTGTATGTGGGGAGTGCTGTTTGTTGAGTGTTTGTTAAGTGAGTGAAGTTGTGGGTTGGGAATGAAAAGAAAGGCCGGTCCTTTGAGCCCACCAACTCCGGCTGGCTGTGAGTGAAAAGTGGGTGATATGATTTTGACTGAATTCCAAGGATTTGTTTTTCTTTGTAGCCACAACAGCAGCAGGGCTTTCTACCGCATCTCCAGGTTCACAAACTGAATCATTTGAAACCAGTGTCTCCACAGAAGCACCCACCACTACCACAGAGAAACCCACTGAAACCACTGAGGAAACCACCACCCCCACTACTACCACTACCCCCACTACTACCACTACCCCCACTACTACCACTACCCCCACTACTACCACTACTACCACTACCACCACTACCACCACTACTACCACTACCCCCTCTACTACCACTACCCTCACTACCCCTACTACCCCCACTACCCCTACTATCCCCACTACTTCCACTATCCCCACTACCCCTACCACCTCCACCACCTCTACCACCTCCACTACCTTCACTGCCTCCACCATGAGACCCTTTGTCATCACCATCGAGATAACCACCCCCACAGAGCAAGTCACTGATATCACCGAGGAGATCACCACTGCCACGGAGGAACCCACTGAGGAAATCACCACTGCCACAGAGGAACCCACTGAATTCGAGGAGACCACCTCGGCCACAGAGGAACCCGCTGAAACCACTGAGGAGATCACTACCACAGAGGAACCCATCGAAACCACCCCGGAGACCACTACCACCACCACAGAGGAACCCACTGAGACCACCCCGGAGACGACGACGACCACCACCACCACCACCACCACCACCACTACCACCACAGAGGAGCCCATCAAAACCACCCCGGAGACCACCCCCACCACCACAGAGGAACCCACTGAAGCCGCGGAGGAGACCACCGTAGAGGAACTTCCCGAAGCCACTGAGGAGACCCCCACCCCGGCGGAGGAACTCACTGAAACCACAGAAAAGCCCTCAGCTTGTACTGAAGAATCCTGCCCTAGTACATCGGACCTGCCCGCTGGGCCATCAGTCTTGGTGAAGCCTCCACACTTTCACAAGAGCACCACTTCCCCGACTACCACCACCTCTATGACCACTACCACCACCACTACCACCACCCCCAAAACTACCAAAGGTATATGGGGACAGAACTGGGCCAAAGAGCTGAAAGTAAGAGACAGCGAGTAGGACAGAGTCGGGGAGAGGAATTCTTCCAGTGGGAAGTCAGCCTTCTTATGGGAAGATGGCCCAGTCCCATCCCTCCAAAGATGACAGCTTTGGAAGAATACTGCCCAGAGCTGTAGGGACATGGGGCAGGAGTGGGTGGAGGCAGGTGGGCATGAGCTCCAGGCTTTCTTCCTATCCTCCTTATGTTTTATGGAGAGAGTTCATATACCGTATAACTCACCTTCCTACCCTACCCGCACACCTGGGTCCTCACTGCAGTTTTTTGGGTGCTGGAAATCAAACCTAGGGCTTCATACATGCCAAGCATATGCCCTACTACTGAGCTGCATCCGCAGCCCCTCACCCTTTTAAAGTCTCTAATTTAATGGTTGGAACATATATTCATAAGCTTATGCAACCAGTATTCCATTCTTTCTTTTAAAAATTTTTTGGTTGCAATGGAAATAATACCTTTATTTCATTTATTTATCCTTTTTTAAAATATATTTTTTAGTTGTAGGTGGACACAATATCTTTATTTTTATTATTTATTTATGTGATGCTGAAGATTGATCCCAGGGCCTCACACTTGCGAGGCAAGCGCTCTACCACTGAGCCACAACCCCAGCCCCATTTGTTTATTCTTTATGTGGTGCTGAGGATCCAACCCAGGGCCTCACAGTGCTGGCAAGCGCTGTACCACTGAGCCACAACCCCAGCCCCCAGTATTCCATCTTTATTTACATTTTTTTTTTATCCCAGAAAGAAACCCCATAAGCTCCTCCCTGCTTCTTCCCAGTCCCTGATGACACCGATCTCCTTTCTGTAACCATGGATTTGCGTGACCTGGACATTTCAGACAAATGGAATCCTATGTGAGCCTTTGTATCTGTCCTTTGTCGCTGAGTACGATGTCATCAGGTCCATCCATGTTGTGGCTACATATTCCTTTTGATGGAGGGACAATATGGGCCTACTTCTTAGAGGAGAACTTGAGTTTGGGGATGGGGGAGAGAGAGGAAGGCCCTGGGAACAGCTCCAGAGTGAAGGTTTGATGAGATCATGTTTTGCCTTTAGTGAAGTGCTCCCCAAATTCCCACTATGAATCCTGTGCCTGCCCTGCATCCTGTGAGAACCCCAAACCCAACTGCAATATACTCTGCCAGCCAGGCTGTGTCTGCAATCCTGGTTTTTTGTTTAATGAAGACAAATGCATCAATGCCTCTTCCTGTGATTGTGTCTACGGCAAAAGCTACTATAAGGTAAGTCCACAGGGATGCTGGTTCCCCTGAGGGAGACTGATGGTGGAACACCTGGGTCCTCTCTGCATTTGTGCACTGGGATGAGATGAACTTGGATCGTCCCCAGGGGTAAGCTCAAAGCTGTGGCTTCACAGTGACAGAGTCCTCCATTCAGCATGGGTTTTGTTCTTGTTGTTTTGGTTTTGTGGTGCTGGTGATCAAACTCAGGGCCTTGCTCAAGCGAGGCAAGTGCTTCACCACTGACCTTTACCCCCATCCCTCAGCCTGTGGTATTTTGATGATTCTCTCTGTTCATACCATATATCTGGGGTACGCGCGTCTTTTGGCACACCGTGATGCTAATCTGTGCTGATGAGCTAGTCACTCATGGTCCCTGGCTCCATCCCCAGCACCGAACCAGCAACAACCAAAATATGTGGAGAGATTTCTAGAATTCTCTTATGCCAAAGAAACTTGCAAATCCTGAAATCTTGGTAAGCTCAAAAGACAGAAGTCACTAACTCTCTTTGCCTCCCTGAATTGATGGTCTGCTGGGGAGATTGAATAGAGCACAGCTCCAGAGGGAACAGGCTGTGAGCCAGAGCTGTTTGGTAGGAGTGGCATGGGGGTCATGTTAGGTTGCCTAATAGCCATGATAAGAAAGCGGAAGGGATGAGGCTGATGGTAGAGCTCTGAGGCAGCACACACAAGGCCCTGGGTTTGAGCCCCAGCACCACTGGGAGGAAAAAAAGCACAAGGAAACATTTTTTTAAATAAATTAAAAAAAAAACACAAGGAAATTGGTAAAATTCATTTCAATAATCTATAGTCTTCCCTTGGAACCAGGAGAGATTTGTTCCAGAACAATCCTCCAAAATCCTAAAATCTGCCCAAGTCAAGTTCCTTATATAAATGGCATAGCATTTACCAACATATGCAGATCCTCCTGGACTGTTTGAATCATCTCCGGGTTATTTATAATACCTGATGCAGTATAAATGCTATGTGAATAGTATTGTTTTAGTAGTTGCTAGGAGGTACATGTTCAGTACAGATGCAATTTTTTAAAAAAATTACCTTTCATCCTCTGCTAGTTGAATCTGCAGGTGAATCTCTAGCTATGGAGGGCTTACTGTACTAAATTTCACATATTATCATTTCAGTGTTTAATCAATAAAGAGTTACTAGGGCTGGGTGTGGCTTAATGGTAGGGCACATGCTTTCATGTGCAAGACTCTGATGTTGACTCCCACACTGGGGGTAAAAAAGAGACTAATTGATGAGATGGTTAATTTTAGTTTTTTTCCCTCATGCTAAATCTTCAAAATCCAGTGTATATGTTACACCTATAGCATATGTCAGTGTGGACTGGCCATGTATCCAGAGCTTAGTAGCATGTGCCTGGTGGCCTGAGTGACGGGGCAGGTCTAGAGCCAGGCCAAGCAGAGCTTGTGCCCAGGCTGGGTTCATTCACTGAGTGATCTTGGGCAATTTTCTTTACCTCTTTAAACCTGTTTCCATATCTATAAAAGTGTGCAAAATAGGATTGTTGTAAAGATGCAATTAAATCCTGACACATGCAAACTACTTAGTAAATGTTCATTATTATTATAACAATTTATGATAAATATCATATGCAGCCTATTAATTAAGTGCATTAAGCTATTCATTAGTACCTGGTGCTGCCCCTCAGCTGCAGGTGTTCTGCCCTTTGGCGTCAGAGCTCCTACTTCCCTCTTCAGGGACTGCTTCCTCCTGTACCCCTTTAACCAGTCTCCTGGGGCTCCCTAAATGGGTGATAGGTCTAGGTTCAGCAACAGCCTGGGCAGAAGGATCGTCGTGACCATCAGTATCAAGGGTCTCTTCACTGTCCTGGGATGGCATAGACGCATTCAGCAAATGTCCATTATTTAGTACTTTCTACCCACCTGGTATGGAGTCACCATGAACGTGGCAAGCTCCTTGGCTGTCTTCTTCTTCTTTTTTTTTTTTTTATTGGTACTGGAGATTAAACTTGGGGGCACTCAACCAGTGAGCCGCACCTCCAGTTCTATTTTGTATTTTATTTAAAGACAGGGTCTCACTGAGTTGCTTAGCAAGCCTCAGCATGCTAAGGCTGGCTTTGGATTCGTGATACTCCTGTCACAGCCTCCCGAGCCACTGGGATTATAGACATGCACCACTGCACCCAGCAGCTCCTTGTCCTTCTAATGCTCTCAGATTTAGAGGGGCACACATTGGGCCTTGGTTGACTCTTCCGCTCAGCAATTATTTATTTATTTATTTATTTATTTATTTATTTATTGGTACTGGAGATTTAACCCATGGGCACTTTCCCACTGAGCTACATCTCCAGCCTTTTTTGTTCGTTTTTTAAAATTTTGAGTCAGGGTCTCACTACATTGCTTAGGGCCTTCCTAAGTTGCTGAGGCCGGCTTTGAACTTGTGATCTCCTCCAGTCTCAGCCTCCTGAGCTTCTGGGATCATAGGCATACACCACCATGCCTGGCTCAGCAAGTACTGATTGAACGAGAGTTTCTATTGTGACATGTTGGGGCCAAGATGGTGTGTAAAGACAGACATAATCCCTGCTTGGGACACTTATAATCAATCATAAAAGAAATCTAAAAGTGCAACTGTGGGAAGTCCTTGGAAGGAAGGTCCCCAGAGATGTGAGGATGACCTTGTCAGGGGGTCTGGGCAGTCTTTCTGAGAAAGCTGTCCTTGAGCTGAACTCTATTGGTTGTAGAAGAATGAATTAGAAAGACAGGGAGGGTCGACACAGTGGTCCATGCCTGTAATTCCAGCCACTTGGGAGGCTGGGAGGATCACAAGTTCAAGCCAGTCTCAGCAACTTAGCAGGCCCCTATCTCAAAATAAAAAATAAAAGGGCTGGGGAGATAGTTCAATGGTTAAGCACCCCTGAGTTCAATCCCCAGTGCTACACACACATACACACACACCACACACACACACACACACACACACACACACACACAAAAGATGGAGAAGGAGGAGAAAGATGGGAAAGGAAGAGCCTTCTAGGATGGGAGAATAGTACATGCAAATGTCCTGTGGTTGGAATAGGGAGTGCAGACAAGTTTAGGTGTGCACATTGGGCAGCACCCTCTTCCCTGGGTAAGGTAGAGGAGAAGGTGGAGGCCTCAAGAACTATGGCTCTGTAACTCTAGATCCCTTGCTCCCAGTTTGGGCAAGAATGGTTCAGCCCCAACTGCACAGAACGTTGCCAATGCCTTGCTGGCAGCCGTATGGAGTGCCATATCTCTGAGTGTGGATCACACACAGTGTGCCAACTGAAGGATGGCGAGTATGGATGCCACCCCTATGGTGAGTACCTCCTTGCATGCTCTCGAAAGGAGTATGACACCAAGATCCCAAGCTGTCTTTGGAGCAGAGGAGCAGGGGTGTGTCACCAGCTGGGAGACTTGGGGTATGGGATCCAGCCTGACTGGGCAGTGGAAGCAGCTTCCTGGGTCCTCCTTTCTCCCCTCTGTAGGCACTTCCACCTGCATGGTCTATGGTGACCCTCATTATGTCACCTTTGATGAGAGGCACATCAACTTCTCAGGCAAATGCACCTATGTCTTGACTCAGCCCTGCCGAAACTCCTCAAGTAGGTCCTGAGGGCCTGAGGTCAGAGGAGGGGGCTCTGAGGGGCACAGTGGTGGCCAGCAGGACAGGGAACAGAGGAGGGACAAGACAGGGCTGGGAGCAGAGGAAAGGAAGAGGCCATCCTGGAGCAAGGTCCTCTTAAGGTGAGGGTGGAAACCATCCCCTCCCCATCCAGAGCCAGGAGTCTAGGGCTTTTCTGGGGAAAATGCAGTCTGAGATATCAGTTGTGTCCTCAGCCAGCTCTTATTGAGGGCCCATGTGACACAGTGGCAATCACTGTTGAAGAGACTAGTGAAGGTGCACAGATAGCCTGGAGGGTGTCACTACACACAAGGGGAGATGCAGCGGTGCAGGCTGTTCTGGAGGAGGGTAGACATCCACCCCTTCCTGCTTGTGTCCTGCCTCCTCTCCTAAACTGCAGGGCCTGTGTTTTACCCACAGTGCCAGGCTTCGATCCATGGCACACACTTGAGATATTATTACTGGGCTGGTGTGTAGCTCAGCAGTAGAATTGCTTGCCTAGCATGTGTGAGGCCCTAGGTCAAATCCCCAACACTGCAAAAAAAAAAGAAAGAAAAGTTTACTGAATGAGCCCTTCTCCCACCCAGACACATTCTTCAAAGTCTTAGCCAAGAATGAGGAATGGGGACCCAGAGGACTGACCTGCCTGAGCAAGGTTCATGTGATCCTGTCTGAGACTACCATCACCCTGCTCAAGGGCAGACAAACACTGGTGAGCCCCATCCCCCATCCACCCCTGCTGGGGCAGCTAAATGTGACCAAGACCTGCTCCTGGTCAGCCCCAGCCCAGTGGGCATTGATGGTGAGGCTCCAAGCCGCTGTGGTGGAAGAGGTTGTTGGGATGCCGTGAAGGATGTTATACCTTGTGGCTGTGGATACGGGAGTCTTGGGGTCTTCCTTGATCCCCCTGATCAGTCTCTCTGCCCCTTCCTCTGCCAGGTTAAGGGTCAGCGAGTCACCCTCCCAGTCAGACCTTCTAAAGGTGTCATCATACGTCCAAGTGGGCGGTTTGTGAAAGTGAAAACAGCATTTGGTTTGCTTATAAAGTGGGACGGCCACCAGCAGCTGTTTGTGACTATGTCCAGGTGAGGGAGCATCCCCGCCAGGCAGCTGAGGCTTCTCCCGACCAGGGCTCCTCCATCCACCTCCCTCTTTTTTCCATTCCAAGCACTAGCGCTCAGTCACTTCTGTTCCTCCCAAAGGGTAGGAAGCACCTAGCTCAAGTGGTCGGCCTTCCCTTGGACGGGGAGACAGAAGGAAATGGTTTCCGCACAGTGGAATAATGGCAGGATATACACACAATGCCTTGGGAATGTTCTAGAGGAGGAGTTGCTCACGTGCCCTGGGGCTGTCTTCTTGGCTCCCCAGATGGACAGACAAGGGAAAGACAGACTTTTTAGACCCACACACGTAGAGCGAGCCCGAGTGGTGTAGAGCCGGTAAGGTCAATCATGACCGGATGTTGGGGCTGAAGGGAGACCACACAGCTGGCTCCAAGTCTCGTGTGCCTGGTGTGCCACCCATGTCAGGAGTAGGTCCTTCTCTATCCCCTTTGAGCCTTCTCCTCCGGGCCTGCAGCTCATTATCCCCTCCAATCCAGTGACGGAGGCCCCTTCACCCCATTCATGCTCCCCCCTCTCCTGGGTCCCACAGTGTGTTCTCAGGCAAACTCTGTGGTTTCTGTGGAAACTTTGACGGGGACAGCAGCAATGACAACCTGAAGCCAGATGGTGAGCCAGCTGAAGACGATGAGGATCTGGGGAACAGCTGGCAGACCGAGCAGGAGTGAGGAGACCCCACTGGGGGCCCATGGGCTGCTCTCCTTCCCCACTCTCTCACTTTGGGCCCTTTTAAAACCAACCAGAACCAGGTGTGATGGCGCACACCTGTAGTCCCAGCTACTCGGGAGGCGGGAGGATTGCTTGGATCCAGGAGTTCAAAGCCAAACTTGGCAACATAGAGAGACCCCCTCTCTTTTTCTCCCTGGAGACTCCAGATTTTCCCACCTCCTTTGGGCACAGCCTTGCTGACAAATGGCATAGGGCCCCAATTGGAAGTGAGCCATGGACTTTAGCATTTGACTGGATCTCTTTTAGGTGCGAGGGTATCGAGACACGTACCCCAACTTGTGGGCGAGCCTTGCAGAGCACTATGTCAGGGTCCAAGTTCTGTGGCCAGCTTGTCAGCTCCAAAGGAGTGTTTGAGTATGGAGAAGGGCAGGCGGGGCTGCTGGGCACCAAAGTCCTCCAAGGTGGAGGCTGGGAAATGCCACTCCCTCCTCCCCTCTAATCTGGGCTCTTTCCTCAGGGAATGCCAGCTTCATGTGAAGGTCTCTTCCTTCTTTGACAACTGCATGAATGACATGTGCAACTTCCAGGGCTTCCATCTCATGCTTTGTATCCATCTTTCGTTCATGACTGCAGCCTGCCAGCACGCTGGCTATGCCGTGAAGCCCTGGAGGAAACCCCAGTTTTGCCGTGAGTTGTGACTGGAAGCTGGGGAGAGGACACCTCCCTGCAAATGCAGAGAGGCCATTCCCATGGGCTTGGGATGCGTTGAACCTCCCACTTCACCTGAGGTCAGGAAAATGGGCAGAGTTGGGAGCATCCCTGAGATAATCACAGTCACTTGCAAACTCAACAGTAGCCTTGTAGCTACTGATGCTGCACAGGACAAGTACACGTGTGTTCACATGCCTGGCCAGTTCCTCTGATATGGGCAGACCTGAGCTAGAAGGGCACCAAGCTGCCTTACAGCTCCAGGGATGGCTGGGCTCTCTGGGAAGGTGCTTTAGAGCTGACCCAGCCCCTGGACTCGGCCTCTCCCTGCATGCCTGGGGCATGTCTACACAGCAGTATGGTTGAGGCTGTACTTTTATGGCTCAGTCTGCTTCCATGAAAGTCCAAGGTAACATCCAGGTGACCACCTCTTAGCACAGACAGCTGGCCCTGTAGGCCCTAGGAGTCAGTGGGCTCCTTTTTAAAGCCTCTCTACTAAAGATTGGCGGGAGCCTTTCTAGCTGGGGACTTCCAAGCACATTCTTCCCTTTTCTGCCTCAGTCTCACCTGTCTCCTTACTTGAGCTTCTCCCTCCACAGCCCTGATCTGTCCAGCCAATAGCAGTTACTCTTTGTGTGCCGATCCATGCCCGGACACCTGCCATTCGGGATTCTCTGACAAGACCTGCCCAGACCACTGTTTGGAGGCCTGCGAGTGTAACCCGGGCTTCATCCTCAGTGGCCTCGAGTGTGTCCCTCCATCCCAGTGTGGGTGCCTTGACACTTCAGGAACCTACTTCAAAGTGAGTGGCTGGGGTGGGTCTCTCAGCCCTGGAGCCAGGGGGCACTTGCTCCCTGGGCCAGGGTGAGAGGCCAGAGAGAGAAAGCAGGGAAACACAGGAGGGCAGGGGATTTAGGCCTGGGGTTTGGGAAATTCTGACCCTGATCTAATCTCCTTTTGTGTGTGTGTGTGTGGTGCTGGGGATCAAACCCAGGACCTTGAATTTGATCTGCCATTGAGCTGCACCATGGAGCCCTCCAAGTTCCCCTTTCTTCACCTCTAGTCCTTTCCACACAGGCTGGGATGACATCATGGCACGCTCTTTCCCATGATACCTCTTAAGAGTCTGAGACCCTGTCCCCTCCCATCATCCCTGCTGCCGCTCTCAGCTGTCATTTTACCGATCATTTTGCCCAGATTTTCCATCCTCTGAAATCCTGAGTAGTTCTGTGTCTCACCTGTGCTGTTTTCAAATCTTGTCTCCTCTGGAGGGTCCCACTCTGCAGAAGGGCCTGTGTCTCTTTCTCTGCACACCTGTTTTCACTCTTCTCAGAAGCATCACTGAGAACTAGGCTCTGTGCCCAGCTCTCACCAGAGGTCTGGCAATGACACCAGTCTCCAGAATAACCCTCTGCCATCTGATGTTCACCTGGCCATCCTCCATGGCCCTGCTCCAGGCTGGACCCCCAAATGCTCCCAGTCCAAGTCTTGCTGTGGCCACCCCCCCCCCTCACTTGGTGCTGAAGATCGAATCCAGCCCTTTGTGAGCAGAAGCAGGCACTCTACAACGGAACTGTACCCCGTGCCATGCTCTGACCTTTTCCCAGTTCCTTTTATACCCTGCTCTACTTCTCAGCCTCTGCCTGTTGGGACCTTTCCCCTCCCTTGAGGCCCTGTTGAAATGCTCCCTCCTCCTTGAAGCCTTCCTGATAAGCAGAGTCAGGAAACTTCTCTCAGAATTCCCATTATCAGGTGCTTATTGCTGGTGTCCATGGCGAGAAGTGATCGTTGGGTGACCTGGTGGTTCCACTTGGACGCACATTGGAGATGTGTATCCAAGAGTTGACTTACATTTATTGTCCCCTGTTGGATTGTGAGTTCTGTCAGGACAGAGACATTTTCCATCTGGTTCATTACTGAATTCCTAACACCTCCCACGACACACAGACAGCTCAGCTGAAATAGTGAGCAAATAAATGATCAAGCGATTCCATCCCTGAGCCAACACCAGAGTTTTACAGCTAAGCATAGAACTTTTGAAAGACGGAATGCCCCGTGAGTAGGCCAGCCCTTGGAGCGGCAGTGGGCTCTTGTGTTGGACCTGGGAAAAGCTGCTTTCTTTTCTTTCTCCAGTTAGGGGAACAGTGGTACAAACCAGGCTGCAAGGAGTTCTGTGTCTGTGAAAAGAACAACAAAATTCACTGCCAGCCCTGGAAATGTAAGGCCCAGGAGGCCTGTATGCTGCAAGATGGCACCTATGGCTGCCGTGCCCGAGGTGAGAGGTCAGGAGAGCAGGTGAGCAGGGGGCCTCAAGCAAGGGGAAGATCCTGCCCAAATCTTCTTCCCCAGAGAGCTGGGACCCCAGAGGCTGTGAATTAGTCAGCTTGAAATTACTGTAACATATACCCCTGAGATAAATAAGCTTATAAAGAGAAAGGGTTTTTTTGGCTCATTGGCTTCTGGGCCTGTGGTGAGGCAGCTAGTCACAGTGGGGAGTATGTGGCTGAACACAGCACTGCTTCCCTCAGGGCTGGGACAAGAGGAAAAGAAAATGAAGACACCAGGGTCCCTCAGATCCCCTGCAAGAGCATCCCCCAGTGACCTAAAACCTCCCACTAGGCTCCACCTCTTAACATTTATACCACCTCCCAAGAGCACCAAGCCAAAGACCAAGTCTGTAACATGGGCCTTTGGGAAATATTTCAGATGGAAACCATCCCAGGCTGGGAGGCGGTTTCCTAGGTCAGGAGCAGTATCTTCCCAGGTTCAGAGTGGAGTTGGGGAGGGTTGTCTCCCTCCTTGGCATCCCAAGCCAAGCCAACTTTATCTCCTAGAGAAACGCCAAGTTCAAGGATGGGCTGTAGGTACCATACCAATGTGGGCTCAACAAGGTGGCAGCCCTGGATCAGGGCTTCCTGGGCACGGTACAACAAGACTCCAAGCCCTGTCATCTCTTCCCAGGGGCGGCCACCTGCAGCGCCTCGGGCGACCCCCACTACTTGACCTTTGACGGAGCTCTGCACAACTTCATGGGCACCTGTGCCTACGTCATGGTCCGCCCTTGCAATGTCAGTTCCCGAGAGAACAACTTTCTTGTCACCACCACCAACGAGATCCGCGATGGGAACTTGGAGCTCTCCTACATCAAGTCTGTCAACGTGCAGATCTTTAACCTCAGAATTTCGCTGATTAAAGGTCGAAGGGTCATGGTGAGTACCGCTTCTCCCTCCCAGGCCCTCCCCAACCCAGCCTGCTGGTTCCTCTTCTCCTGAGCCCCTGAGGGTACCAGGCAGCCCCCTCCTCCTTGGACTCCCTCCTCTCTCCCTGAAACATCCGTCGCTCCTTCCTGCTCCCAAGATTTTGCCTTCCTTTGATCTTAATCCCCAGTTCCCGACTCCTCTACTGCATCCCCCACCTCTGCAGGTGAATGGCTTTCGGATATCCCTTCCCATGTGGCCTCTGGCAGGCCAGGTGATCGTTAGGCTCAGTGGCTCTTTTATTTTGCTCTACACGAACTTTGGGCTTCAGGTCCGCTACGATGGGAAGCACCTGGTGGAGGTGACAGTACCCTCCTCCTATGCTGGCCAGCTCTGTGGGCTGTGTGGTGAGCTCCCTGGGAAACTGGGGAAAGCTGGGACAGGGTTGGGCTCTGCAGTGAGGTCTTGGCCTCCCCACACATCTCCATTAGATGTCCTGAGTGTTGGTCAACCGATGAATCCCTTGAGGACACTGGGCCACAAGAAGGAATAAGTCTAGATGTTGGGGGGGACTTCCCACGTGGACTCGAAAAAGGGGTCATTGAGCATGGATGAAATCAGCTGGTGTTCGCAAGCTGGAGATGGGGAAGAAAGGGTTAGCTTTGATGTGCAGAGAGGGCAAAAAGTGAGGGGGCCCCCTTCTGGTTGGGAAGGTGGTGGCCTGGGCTGGGGTAAGCCTGTGCCTCTGTTGCCTCCGCTAACTGCCTCTTCCTTCAGGGAACTACAACAACAACAGCCTAGATGACAACCTACGCCCAGATAAGAAGCCCATAGGCAGCTCGGTGTATCTGGGGGCCTCCTGGAAGCACTCAGATGACTCAGAACCCGGGTGAGCATGGGGCAGGGGGCAGGGGTGCTGATACTGGGGGAAAACCTCAGAAGGCCTCCTGGAGGCCTTTGTCCCCTGGGTATCCCTGTTCCCTCTGTGCTGTCCTGCCTGCCCTGACACCGCTCCATTTCTCCTCTTAGGAAGTCCCCCTGGCCAGCTTGCCTTATTCCTTCCTGCTGTAGCTCTTGGCCTTCTTGAGGGTGCCATGTAATTCTCTTCTCCTGAGCCTCTTCCTGTTCCTCACTCACATGTGCTTCAGTTTGGAGGACATTTTCTCAGTCCTGAGTGTCTGTCCTTTCCTCCCTTTATTCAGCTGCTTCCTGAGGGGTGGCATATCCTCCAACTGCCAATATAACAGCACGTCGGACAGCTGGAATAAGAGCTGTGCCATCTTGGTGGACCCTCAGGGTAAGACACACTCCCTGCTGGCCCTTTGCCCTCCTCTCCACCCCAGGGGCTGGACACCTAGGAGGAAGACTATAAGGCAAGAAACCAGAGTAAGATCAGAAACACTGGAGTCTGGAAGCACAGGTGGCCTGGCCAGCATCACCCCCTTGGGAGCCAGGACTGACCAGGCCCCTTCTGTGTCTTAGCCAGTATTTCCCAATAAACCCAGGTTTTGATGGAAAGGAATGTCCAGTGAGCCCCTTAGAAGACACAGGTCCTGCTCGTTCCCCAGGCTCACCCTCTGCTCTCCCCACCTTGTGTCTTCCTCCAGGGCCCTTCTCCATGTGCCATGACGTGGTGTCCCCGCAGGCCAGCTTCTACAGTTGTGTGTATAGCCAGTGTGGGACCAAGGGCAGCACTGTGGCCCTGTGCCACTCCCTGCAGGCCTATGCGTCCCTGTGTGCTCTGGCTGGCCATGCCCTTGCCTGGCGCAACAGCAGCTTCTGCCGTGAGTGACCTTACCACCTGCTCCCACAGCCCCCACACCCTGGTCTCCCTCTCTCCCACACTCCGCCTTTTGACCTGTACAGAGCACTCCCGCCCACCTGGAGCCTTCCTCTGTGGTCTACTCCACCTCTCCAGCCCAGCACCGGAGCCTCCTGCATCTGATTCTCTTCTCATGAAAAATTTCTGCCTTGCCAAGTGTGGTGGCACACACCTGTAATACCAGTGGCTCTAGAGGCTTGAGGCAGGAGGAACACCAAATTCAAAGCCAGCCTCAGCAACTTAATGAGGCCCTAAGCAACTTAGTGAAACCCTGTTTCTAAATAAAAATGTAAAAAAAGAGCTGGGGATGTGGCTCAGTGGTTAAGCACCCCTGGGTTCAATCCCTGGTACCAAAAAAAAAAAAAAAAGAAAGAAAGAAAAAAAGAAATTATCCAGTGGAAACAGCCTCCTTCCTTTTTCCCTGGGCCAGCTCTCTTCCCTTTCTTTTCTCCCCCCCCTTCCTCTTCCCTTCTTATGGTACTGGGGATTGAATTCAGGGCCTCCTACAGGCTAGGTGAGTTCTCTACCACTCAGCTACACCCCAGCCCCTTTCATTTTATTTTGAAACAGGGTCTCACTGAATTGCCCAGGCTGACCTTGAACTTGTGATCTTCCTGCCTCAGCCTTCCCAGTAGCTGGGATTACAAGCTCTGTTCCCTTTCTTTCTTTCTTTCAGAAAAGTTCTTAAAAAAAAAAAAATTGAAGCCAGCCATACACGTGGTGTGCAGGCCTGAAATCCCAGTAGCTCTGGAGGCTGAGGCAGGAGGATCTCAAGTTCAAAGCCAGCCCTCAGCAAAAGAAAAGTTGCTGAGCAACTCAGTGAGACCCTGTCTCTAAATAAAATACAAAATAGGGCTGGGGATGGGGCTCAGTGGTTGAGTGCCCCTGAATTCAATCTCTGGTACCCCCCCCACAAAAAAAATTGTGAGAAAACGTACATAACATAAAATTTACTATTTTAGCCTTTTTTGTTTTTTCTTTTGTGTTGCTGAGAATGGAACCCAGGGCCTGTTGCATGCTGGGCGGGCACTCTACCACTGAGCCACACCACAGCCTCATTGTAACACTTTTGAAGTGTGTAATGCAGAACATTCATGCTGGTGAGCAGCCATTTCCAGAGCTGGTTCTCCCCAACTGAAATTCAGACCACACTAAACAGCTCCCCATTCTTTTCTTGCCCCTGGCAACCACAATTCTGCTTCCTGTCTCTATGAATTGAGCTCCTTTAGGATCTCCACATCGAAGGAATCATGCAGTGGGTGTCTTGGTACCTGGCTTATTTCTCTCCTGTGGATAGACCACTTGGGTTGTGGGTCTGTGTATCTGTCAACAGAGAGTCTCAGGGACTCCCAGTGCTCCAAGGCTGGGAGCTGTAAATGCCACTCTTTTCCTAACACTCATGTCCTTCGTAGCTATGCGGTGTCCTTCTGGCAGTCACTATAACTACTGTACCAGCCCCTGCCCAGCCACCTGCCTTAGCCTGAGGATCCCCATGAAGTGCCCTTCTATGCCCTGTGTGGAGGGTTGTGAGTGCCACGGAGACTTCATCCTGAGTGGGACGTCCTGTGTGCCTCTCAGCCTGTGTGGCTGCACTGACTCAAAGGGCTTCTACCACACGGTGAGAGGCCAATCCTGCCCGTTTCCACAAAGCAGGGGGGGGTGGCCCAGAAAAAGCTCAGAACAGGTGGCAAGCCAAGGCAGAAAGTGTCCCAGGGGTGGGGTGCACTCCCCTACCTCTAGCTTCCAAATTTTTGCTGCCTGTGCCAACCCCTATGCCCCACAGTTGGGGGAGAGCTGGTACCTGGAGAACACCTGCACCACCCTCTGCACCTGCTCCGTCCAAAACAACATTACCTGCCAGAAGACCGCCTGCAAGTCTGAGCAGACCTGCAGAGCCCTGGATGGGCTGTTTCGCTGCAGGGCCTCAGGTAGGAGGGCCAGCATGATACCTAGAGCAGTTCCCCCACTCTCCCCACATTCTCCCTACCTGCCCCTGTAGCATTCAGGTTCATATTCACAGCTAGCTCTACCAAATAGTTCTTGGCTCTTCTGAGGATAGATGGTCTTCCCACTGCCTGGAAGGGCATCTTGGGCTTCAGTTCCCTGCATTCTGATATAGCAACAGAAAACAGGTAACCTGTTACCCATTTTCTATTGTTATGTCAGAATGCAGGAGACTGGATAATTTATAAAGAAAAGAAATGTCTTATTTCCTGCCTTCCCTTCTTTTGGTGCTGGGGATGGAATGCAGGGTCTTGCCCATGCTAGCCAAGAGCTCTACCACTGAGCTACACCCCACCCAGGAAATGCACTTCTTATTTTGGAGGCTGGGAAGTCCAAATTTGAAGGGCTGCATCTGGAGAGGGCCTTCTTGCTGGTGGAGACTCTGCAGCATCAAGCACCACCTCCAAATACCACTAGCATATGACTTTGGAAGTTAAGTTTCCAGTGCCTGAATTCTGGGGAACAAACATTCTAACAGAGCAACTATGTTTCTCCTGCAGCAGCCGTGAACTTGGGTTGCATATAATAAATCCCTTCCTGGTAGAATTACACTCCCCTCTACCTCTAAGAGTCATACCAGTCTGGGGCCTTGGGCCTTGATTTTTTTCTTGAACAAAGTCCTCCTTCCTTCTTGGGGCTCCCTGGCCTTCCCAGGCAGGAAGAGTACAGGATCATTTCCCTTGGGACAGTGTTCTTATCAGAGATGGGGTGATGTCTCAACCACCTCTCTTTCCCTCCAGATGTGGGCGTGTGCCGGGTCTCAGGGGGTTCCCAGTTTGTGAGCTTTGATGGCGTTAGCCATAAAGCCATTGTGGACATCTGCACTCAAGTCTTAGTCAAAGTGTGCCACCCCAACATGAACCTACCTTTCTTCAAGATCAGTGCCAAGAGTTATAGCCAACAAGACAGTACCAGTCCCATCTCCCTCCCTGAGCTCTACATCAACATCTTCAATTCTAAGATCATCCTGAAAAAGAAACACCAAGTGCTGGTGAGCTGGGCACGATGACATGACCCAGAAGGAGGAGCAAGCTCTGGGGAGGGGACTCTGGTCCTTCCTCCCACTCACAGGTGCCACCCTCCTCTTTAGATCAATGATGCAACAGTCACACTTCCTGCCACATCCCAGATCCCTGGGGTCAGCATCACTTCTAGTGGCACCAACACCTTCGTCGATGTTGATAATGGACTACAAGTCCGTTTTGATGGCAACCAGTTCTTAGAGATCAAAGTCCCTGTAGCCTATTATGACAAGGTGAGGGTATGGCCTGACCTTGTTGGTGGGGAGCGGGGGAGCAACATCCCCATCCCCCACGAGAGATCAGTGGCCAGTAGGAGGAGGGCTGTCCACTGCACCTCTCTGTGGTTCTCTGGGCAGGATGCTCCAGAGAAAACTCCCCTTAAGCTTCCCCTGCACTGAAAAGCCCTCTGCCCGCCCAGGTGTGCGGTGTGTGTGGCAACTTCAATGGTGAGGTGGACGACGAGCACATGATGCCCAGTGAAGAGTTTGCCCAGAACAACTCTGAGTTCATGAACAGCTGGAAGGACAAAGGCATTGAGCAAACGTAATTGTCCCCTAAGACCATTTTCAGAAAATGGTCTTAACCAGACCCTGCAAGGCCAGCCTGGGATAGGGAGACCAGAATGTTCCTTCATGTGTGTGATTTGGGGGCGGGGGGTGCCTGCTGAGTCTCACGGGCTGCTGGAACCTATTTGGGGAAATGCAGAAATGTTCCCTTAGAAAGCTGGGAGGCTTGGGAGTCCCAGAGACTCTCTCAGGTGCATTGGGAGTGCCAGATCATCATCTTCACAGGGAGGGTAGTGGTTGCCCCTCTGTTGATCCATTTTTTTCCCTTCCCAGTTGCCAGAAGCCCTCAGAGCAACCTCAGAACAAAGTGGAAAGTCAAGGCACCAAGGAGGAACCCAGACCGGAAAGCCAGGGCCACAAGGAGGAACACAGGACGGAAAACAAGGGCCACCAGGAGGAACACAGGACGGAAAGCAAGGGCCACAAGGAGGGCCACAAGGAGGAACACAGGACAGAAAGGCAGGGCCACAAGGAGGAACACAGGCCGGAAAGCGAGGGCCACAAGGAGAGTCACAAGGAGGAACACAGGATGGAAAGCGAGGGCCACAAGGAGGAACACAGGGAGGAACACAGGCCAGAAAGCGAGGGCCACAAGGAGGAACACAGGGAGGAACACAGGCCAGAAAGNGGAACACAGGGAGGAACACAGGCCAGAAAGCGAGGGCCACAAGGAGGAACACAGGGAGGAACACAGGCCAGAAAGCGAGGGCCACAAGGAGGAACCCAGGACGGAAACTCAGGGCAACAAGGAGGAATCCACGGGCAAAGTGAAAGCCCTTTGCAAGCAAGTCGACTTCAAAACAGTCCAGAGAAATTGCCAAGCAGCCCTTGACGCCCCTGCCTGGGCCCAGTGTGCCGCCCAGGTGGACATCCAGCCCTACCTGCAGCTCTGTAGGGACAAGTTCTGTGACTCTGGAATCCTGACAGGAGCCCTCTGCCTGGTTTTCCAGGACTTTGGGGCCGCCTGCAAGACCCAGGGGCTCAAGCCCCCCATCTGGAGGAACAGCAGCTTTTGCCGTAAGTATCCCCTTCTGTCACCCCTAGTCTGCTCCCACACCCTGTTTCTCCCCTCCTGTTCCTTAGAGCTCCCTCATGCTCCCTCTGATTGCTCCTGACCTACTTCTGAACTTGTCATCTCTGACAAGGACTGGTTACAGTCCCCTCCCAACCAGAGCCCCTCGTATCAGAGCAGCTGCTTGTCGGCTCCTTTACTGATGCCATTTTCCCAAGCAAAGGAAGTGTGACTACTCTCCTCCTGCAGGGTTAAGTCCAAGCATGGCACAGTGGTGTCCAAGACCACCATCCTGGCCTCTCTCTTCTCTCCGACTCCCTTCCCACACACTCAGGTGTCTGGAAGGATCTGTCCTTTCTCCCCCTTCAGGCTGGGCATCTTCTGTAGCTCTTTAAAAACAGTAATTATAACTGAGCTTATTCACATAGCATGATATTCAACACTTTTAAAGTGTTCTTTTAGTATCTTTGTAAAATTGTACAACCATAACCACTATCTAAAAGAAGAACCCTCTAAAATTTAAAGCAGCAATTCATCACTTTTTTTAGTAAGTACAGTTATTCTCTGGTATGCACAGGAGATGGATTGGTTTCAGGACCCCTCTGAATACCAAAATCTGAGGATGCTTCAATTCCTTTATATAAAATGGCATAGTATTTGTGTATAACCTGCACACATCCTCCCATATATTTTTTTGTTTATGTTTTTATGGTGCTGGAGATTGAACCCAGGGCACTTTACCACTGACCTACATCCCCAGCCCTTTTTGGTTTTTGTTTTTTTGTGTGTGTTTTTTATATTTTTTTTTTAAATTGTAGTTGGACACAGTACCTTTATTTCACTTATTTATTTTTATGTGGTGCTTAGGATTGAACCCAGGGTCTCACACGGGCAAGGCGAGTGCTCTACCGCTGAGCCACAACCCCAGCCCCCCTTTTGTTTTTGAAACAGGGTCTCAATAAGTATTAGCCTAGCATTGAATTTGTGATCCTCCTACCTAAAACCTCCCAAATCACTGGGATTACAGGGTGTACCACTGTGCCAGGCAACACACACACACACACACACACACACACACACACACACACACACACCTTTAAAGTATTAGGCATGGTCTTACATACCAGTAGTCCGAGCACTTGAGACACGGGCAGGAGGATCCCTTGAGCCCATGAGTTTTGAGTCCAGCCTGGACAACATAGTAAGATCCTGTTTCAAAAATGAACAAACAAAAACAGATACCCAGAGAGAAGTCTCACCACTCCCTGACCCTGTGGGACCAGTTCACATCTCAGTATTTTTCCAAAGACCTTTTACTATATAAACAAATTCAAGGGGCTGGGAATGTGGCTCAGGCGGTAGCCCGCTCTTCTGGCATGCGTGCGGCCCAGGTTCGATCCTCAGCACCACATACCAACAAAGATGTTGTATCTGCCGAGAACTAAAAAATAATAAATATTTAAAAATATTCTCTCTCTCTCTCTCTCTCTCTCTCTCTCTCTCCTCTCTCACTCTCTCTTAAAAAAAATTCAAATTAGTATACCTCATTTTCTCCTTTTGTCTTATAAATAGTACCATACTAGATGCAGTAATTTGTACTTTATTTTTGATAATCTAGAGATCTTTCCATGTCATGTATGTAAAGAGCTTCCTCATTACCTTCTGCAGCTGCATAATAGTCTATTATTATATAGGTATTTCTTTTTTCCTTCTTGTTTTCTTTTTTTTTTTTTTTTTTTTTTTTGTACTGAGGATTGAACCCAGGGGTGCTTTACTACTGAACTACTGATCTATATTCCAAGTCCTTTTTCTTTCTTTTTTTTTTTTTTTTTAATCTTGAGACAGTGTCTTACTAAATTGCTGAGGCTGGTCTTGAACTTGCAATCATCCTCCCTCAGCCTCACAAGTCACTTGGATTACAGGTCTATGCCACTGCACCTGACTATCATATAGTATTTTCTTTTTGCAGTTCTGGGGATGGAACCCAGTACCTCACACTTGCTCTGCAAGCTCTATACCACTGAGCCACACCCTCAGCCCTATCCCGATTTATCACAATTTATCTAATTGCTCTTCTTTGAGGGACTTTCTGGTTGTTTCCACCTTTTTGCTTTTGCAATCAGTGTTGCAGGGGAATAACACACGTATGGTGTTCTATGTATGTGACTGTATGTGTAAGAAAAATTCCTGGAACTGGAATTGTTGGGACCAGAAATGTATGCATTTGTACTTTGGAGAGGTGTTGCCATATGGCCTTCCCAAGGAGTTGAAGAATTTACATTTCCACAAGCAATATACGAGAGTGCCTGTCTCCACTCCCTCTATCCTCACCAAGCCAGTGTGCCACCAACCTTTTGGATTCTTGACAATCTAATATGTGAAAAATAATGAACCTGGGGCTGGGGATGTGGCTCAAGCGGTAGCGCGCTCGCCTRGCATGCGTGCGGCCCRGGTTCGATCCTCAGCACCACATACCAACAAAGATGTTGTGTCCGCCGAGAACTAGAAAATAAAAATTAAAAATTCTCTCTCTCTCTCTCTCTCTCTCTCTCTCTCTCTTTAAAAAAAAAAAAAAGAAAAGAAAAATAATGAACCTTAACTTGCATTTTTCTTATTGTGAGCGAGACTGTACATTCTTTCATATGTTTAAGAGCCAATTGAATTTCCCTTCCTATAAGCTCTCTGATCTTGTTCATTCCAATTTTTCCACTAAGCTGTTGGTCTTTATCAAACTATTTTAGAGAAGTCCTTTATCTATTATGGAAAGTAGCCCTTTATTAGTGCTCCAAATTTTTTTTCCAGTTCCTTTTTAAAAAATCTTTTTAATTTTTTTGCCATGCAGAAGAAAAAAATATTTTTATGGAATTGAAGTTTTTTTTTTTTTTCTTGTGGTGCTAGGGATTGAATCCAGGGTCTTGCACATGCTAGAGGAGCACTTTACCATGAAGCTATATCCCCAATCCTAAAAAATATTAATCCCTGTTTCATGGTTTCTGTATCTGAGACCATAGTTACAGATGCTGTCCCCACCAAAGTTAGATTTTTTAAAATTTTTTTGGCTCATGCTGTGCTCTAGGATTTTTATGGTTTCTTTTTTATGTTTAAATTTTTGACCCATGAGGAATTAGCCTGGCATGTAGAATGAGATATGAATCAACTTTGTTTAATTTTTTCCAGAAGGCAAACAAGTTGTTTCTGCACTATTAAATAACTTGATTAGCTTTCCCTGCCAACTGAGATGCTACCATTTATCAAATACTAAATTTTCATATATGCTTGGATCTGTATCTGGTTTTTAAATTTTTAAATTTTATTCATTAATTTTGCTACTGGGTATAGAACACAGGTGTGCCACATCCCCAGCCCTTTTTATTTTTATTTTTTTATGTTGAGACAGGGTCTAGTTAAGCTGCTTAGGGCCTCACTAAGTTGCTGAGGCTGGCTTTAAACTTGTAATCAGTTTCCCAAGTCACTGGGATTACAGTGTGTACCATCATGCCCAGTTGTATATTTTATCTCTTGCTTCAAACGTTCATCTGTATCTTCATGTACCAGTAACATGCTGTGATCATTGGGAATCTAAAATGTGTTTTAATTTTGGGTAGGGACCTTCACTAATCACTGCTATTTAAAAGTTGTCCTGGTACAGGGCACAGAGGTGCATTCCTGTAATCCTAGGGACTCAGAGGCAGAGATGGGAAGATCACAAGTTTAAGGTCAACCTAGGCAATGTGTTGAGGCCCTAAGCAACTTAGTGAAACCCTGTCTTAAAAAAAATAAAAAGACTGGGATGTGACTCAGTAGTAAAGCATACCTGGGTTCAATCCCCATGATCCTCACACACACACACAAAAAAAAAAAAAAAAAGAAAGAAAAAGAAAAAAATGTTTTCCTGGCCTTTCTAGTTTGCTTATTTTTTTTTTTCAGTTTGCTTGTATCTTTATCTCAGTTTTAAAACCACTTTGTCTACACAAACGTACACACACAACCTGGTTGGTCTTTTTTATTGGGGTCACATTAAATTTATAAATTCACTGGGGGAGAAATGACATCTGCATGTTGCTGGCTCTTCCTGTCCATGAACATGGTATACACACTTTGTTCACACTTTCTTCTAGAGTCCTTTCTTGAGCTCCCCTGACAGAGTTGATACCTCCCTGCTCTGTGCCACCAATATGCCTGGTACACATCTGCTAGTCACATACATACCATGCACATCAAGGTTGTGCTGCTATTGTGGGGGACCTCAGTCTCCCACACAGACTCCGGAGAGCCATTCTTTGACTTTAATGGTGCTGGGCATAGAACCCAGGCCCTTGCACAGCCTGGAGGAGTGCTTCTAACTTTTTTTCCCTCAGGTCCTGGCACATAACCCACACTCAGCAAATGTTTGATGAATGAATAAGGAGAGAAACCCCAAGCCTTGTTCGTCATTACCCCTAGCCTGGTTTCTAGAGGCCCTGACCTCTTAGACAACCTCTGGTCCCTTCCACTTACCCAAGTTTCTTTTCCACCCTACAGCTCTGGAATGCCCGGCCCATTCCAGCTACAGTAGCTGCCTTCCCTCCTGCCCATCTTCCTGCTTGAACCCGGATGGCCACTGCACGAATAGCAGAGGCCCTTCCAGCTGTGCTGAAGGTTGCCTCTGTCAGTCTGGCTATGTGATGAATGGGGACAAGTGTATGCCCAAAAGTAGTTGTAGCTGCAAGGACGCCCAGGGTGGCACCATCCCTGTGAGTGGGCAGAGGAAATGGGAGTGTGTGGGGGGGTCACAAACCTTGAGGATTGTACTTTTTCTTTCCTCAGGCTCTCAGCCTGGGGCACCCTTGTCTCTATAGCTGGCCCTGGGGTATGAAGGCAGGTGGAACACGGTTTGGGTTTGGGAGGTGAGGAATCCATACAACTGGGCACAGAAGTTTATAGCAGAAAGAGCATGGCCTTTGTGTGGGATGATCTGTGTTTGAATCCTGTTTAGACCCCTGATGAGTCAGATGACCTCTGATGCCTCAGTTTTCTCTTTGGTAAAATGGGTCCTGAAGAGCATATGTAAGACACCCTTTGGGGAGGATATAGGGACATAAAGATCCAAATGGCACTGTAACTGCTTCTCCCCAGGATTAATGCATTAGTTTCTGTATATCCATGAGAACAATTGATCCAGGACTCCCAACAATACCAAAATCTGTGGACATTCAAGTCCCTTTCATAAAATAGCATAGTGTTTGCATAGAACGTTCGCACATCTTTCTTGTAGAGTTTACATCATCTCTAGACAACATGTAATAGCTAGTATATATAATGTTAATGTCATGTAAATATTGTCATGCTGTATTCTTTAGGGAATAATGACAAATTTGGCACAAATGCAATTTTTTTTTCAAATATTTCTATCCAAGTCTGGTTGGATCCAACCCATAGATACAGAGGCTGACTGTGAGCTCTTGAGACAGTGGGCTTAGACTGAAGGAGTGAGAGGAGGAGAACTCACCCTTCCCTCCTCCCTTTCTTTCTTTTCTGGTGGTTTCTACAGATAGGCAAGACCTGGATCTCCACAGGCTGTACGCAGACTTGTTCCTGCGTAGGAGGAAGCATTCAGTGCAGGACCTTCCGCTGTCCCGCTCAGTCTCACTGCCAGCACAAGGAAGGAATCAACAATTGCGTCCCTGACAGTAGGAAGCTGCTGGGGAAGGGGGAAAGGGGTGCACCTGGGACCCAGGAGGAGTGAGGGGCCAAACAGGAACTTAGCCTGGAGATGGTGCCAAGCACGGTAGTCACGGGGTGGGCAATGGGATCAGGAGGCCAGGCTTCTGCCAACTCTGGTCACAGGCAAGTTATAGATCCTCTCAGGACCCCCTACCTTAAGGTCAAAAAGAGAGAGGAGGGTGAGAAGATCCAGAAGAAGGTTGCAATGGGGCTAGAGAGGGAAGAAGTTGAAGGTCAAGTATCCAGGGAGCCCAGGGCCCAAGAGAGAGGTGACAGGAGGTGCCATGGTAGGAGGAATTCCCAGGACTCATCTGGGCAGGGTCCCTTCTCAGTGTTTGCCTTTCTTGGCAGAATCGGATCAATGCTCCGTCTACGGGGACCCCCATTACCGCACATTTGATAGGTTCAGCTACCTCTTCCAGGGTCGCATGACCTACATCCTGGTAAAGACAGTGGACAAGCTCCCAGAAGGGCTGGAGAAGCTGGTTGTGGAGGGACGTAACAAGGTGTATTCCTCGGCCCCGGGCCTGATCTTCTTGCATGAAGTGATCACCTTCGTCTATGGCTATAAAGTCCAGTTCCAGGCTGGACTGACGCTTCTGGTTAGTAGGAGTCAGGCTGAGACCACCTAAAGCTGGTGAAGCAGGCGCCTTGCTTCTGGGAAGTTCCTGGATGATTGAACCACTGAATGACATACAGAGAGAGGGAGAATATGGGCAAAGCCAGGCACAGGCCAGAGCAGCAGAGGGCCACCTTGCTCCAACATGCCCCGCAGTGCCTGTCCACCTTTCCTCCCCCCCAGGTCAACAACCAGAAGATGGCCTACCCCTACAGTCCCAATGAGCGCCTGCAGGTCACCATGCAGGGCCAGCGGCTCTTTCTGATCACCGACTTTGAGCTGGTCGTCAGCTTGGGTGGTGGTGCAAGGATCAACGCAGGTACCAGAGAGAGGGGGACAGAGAGCGGAGGGCACAGTTCTGGGGTGGGGGTGAGAATGCCCTGCATAGACGGGTTCATCATGAGGAGAGAAGCCTTGACTGGGAATGGGGCCCCCAGCTCAAGTTGGGGACCCAGGAGGAGGTGGGGGGCCAGCATGGGGGGCTCACTGCAGGGCACCCTCTTGCTCCCACAGTGATCACCCTTCCCAGCATGTACCAGGGGCTGGTGCGTGGCATGTGTGGGAACTATGACGGGAACCGCACCAATGAGTTCGTACTGCCAGATGGCAGGCTCACCCAGAACCTCTATGTCTTTGGCAACAGCTGGGAGGCGAATGCGGATGAGCCCCTCTCACGTTCCCCAAGGTGAGTGCTGGGGCTCAGGAGGACCAGGGTCTGACCACGGCTGCTACCCTCCCATTCTGGTTTTCGGTTCTAGTGGACAGAGGCCTCACTACTTCACCTTCTACCACTTCTCGTACTGACATTGGGGGGCGGGCACCTGCTCAATGGAAATCCCAGTGGGTCCTGCCCTTCCCTTAGCCTCTGTCCCCAATTGTTCCTCCCCAAGTTCACCTTCCTCCAAGGCCTCACCTGGTCCTTGGCTTCTCCCTTCCAGGGCCATACCCAAGGAGGAAGAGAGACAACAAGCAGATTCCAGCTCCCTAGGGTTGGCATGCAGCTTGGAGCAGCTGGCACTCATCAATAGCACCCAGGCCTGTAGTGTGCTGGTGGACCCCGAGGGTCCCTTTGCTGCCTGTCACCAGACTGTGGCCCCAGAGCCTTTCCAGGAGTGAGTCAGGGCCCAGGACTTGCAAGCATGGCCTCAGTTCCTGCTCCAGCCTTTCACTGGGTCCTGCTGTCTGATCCCCAGCCTCGCTTCCCTTCCTTCTCCCTGTGGCCTCACTTCTTGGTGACCCTTCCTTGACACTGCCCAATGTCTTCTGTGAGGGGCTTCAAGCCCTCTTCTGCAGGGGTCCTTGCCTCCCTGTCTGTGACAGCCCCCTCTCCCCTCCCTTTCGACTCCAGGCACTGTGTGGTTGATCTGTGTACAGCCCAGGACCCCAATGACCAAGAGGAGCTGCGCTGCCAGGTTTTCAGCGGGTACGCCATCACCTGTCAAGAGGCGGGCGCCAGCCTAACCAGCTGGCGGGACCACACCCGCTGTGGTGAGGCACTGCCCCTGCCTGGCAGCTGACCTTGACTCCTCTGCCAGCCATTCCCTGCCCCACCCTTCGCCCACCACGGTCCTCACCTCGGGCTTCCTGTCTTGGTTCCTCTGCCCCTCAGTTCTCAGCAAGCTGAAAGCAGCTCTTTTCCACCTGACCCTTTCCCACCCCCCAGGGAGCCTCCTCCTCCCATCACTGCATCCCCTTCCTCCTCTCCTGCACCCGCCTCTGTCCGTTGAGCTCCTTCACTGTGCTCATGTTCCAGATGAACCCCTCAGATGGGGTACCTGTTCCTCTGGCTTTCCTAACTCCAGGCAGCCATCTTGCACCCCCTCTTCCACCTTCAGCCCCACTGTCCCATAGCCCCATGCCTTTTTGGCTGGCCCCAACTCTTGGCCATGTCTCTGTCCCCTCAGCCATGACATGTCCAGCGAATACCGTGTATCAGAGTTGCATGATGCCCTGCCCGGTGTCCTGTGCCAACCTGGTGACCCTTGGGGACTGTGAGGGCCCCTGCGTGGAAGGCTGCGCCAACCTCCCAGGCTACGCCTACAGTGGTGCCCAGAGCCTCCCGCTAGCTGACTGCGGCTGCACCAGAGACGGTGCCTATTACCAGGTTGGGGCTGGCAGCGGGTGGCCCAAGGAAGCCAAGATGCACAGAGCCAGACCCAGCATGAAACCAGAACCCCAACTCTGCCCTTCTCCTTTCCAGCTGGGTGACAGCTTTGTGACTGAGGATTGCTCTGAGCGCTGTACCTGTGCCAGCTCAGGGGTCCTGATGTGTGAGCCCTTCGGCTGCAGCTCCGAGGAGATCTGCACCTTAGGCAACTTCACCCGCGGCTGCTTCCGAGGTGAGCCTGGATCTCTCTGCTCCAAGTTGTTCCCCGCCCCATCCTCTGCTCAGAGTTCCCACGTGGCTGTCAGGAAGTCCTGCCTCTCTTTTTAAGAAAGAAAAAAGGAAAAGGACCTCTCCCTCCCTGAGCATCTGTTACCTACAAAGCCCTGTCCCTTTAGTCCTTTTCTACAGCACCTGATGGCAAGCACAGCGTACCCATCTTGTGGGTATGAAGAAAGGTTAAGCATTTTCCCAGAGCCCAGGCTGGGGCTAGCGCCGGGCTCTGGAGGCGCTGCTGCCTTCCTGGGTCCAGCCTCCAGCCTTGCCTCCCCTGCACTGAGAATCACCTGGCCCCTCACAGCCCTCCAATCTTGCAGAAACCCCGTGTCTTCCGAACCCCTGTCAGAACGATGGTCAGTGTCTGGAGCAGGGGGCCAGCTTCATCTGTGAATGTGAGGTCGGCTATGGGGGAGCCCTGTGCACGGAGCCACGGGACATCCCTCCCCCTAAAAAGCCAGGTGAGGGCAGAGCCCAGGCCCCATGGACAGCCCCCATAGAATTGTTTTAAATGCATAATATTAACACATATCTATTATAGATATAGATTACAGATATTATAGATATAATATCTATCAATAGATATAATAGGTAATAAATTATTACAGCATTTATATATAATAATATATATATCAAGTATAATAGGGATTATAGCATAATGATCCCAAGAGATTAGCAAGATAGGGGGTCTTCAACTAGGCCCTGTGCCCACCTCCTATTCCCATGCTCTGGAATCTTCTCTTCAAGCCCTAACTTTCCATTTCCTCCCTCCCCTATGGGATTTGCCTCGCCCCATTATTTCCCCCATCTGGGTCCCTTTAGGCCTTCCTGGATTTTCTACTATTTTTTCCTACCCAAAGCTCAAATTCCACTGTGTCACTGGGGCAATGGTTCTCCCCAAGTTTGTTCTACGCAACACTGAGTAGCGGGTAACTTGTTTAACATGTTCCAGGACTTACACCCAGAGATTTAGGTTCAGTAGGTCTGAAGTGGGCCCAGAAATCTGCTTTTGTAACAAGCAGCCAGGTCCTGGCTGGTGGAAGTGTTTCTGGGGATGTTTTGAGAAACCCTGGCAGGGATGATACCTGAGACTCTGGGGACCTACTGTCAAGGCTTCTGGGAGTTGTCTGGAACCAGAAAGGGCTGCTGGGGGGGGGGGGCAGGAGGGAGAACCAGCCACGCCCAGACATTTAGGGAGATGAGGTCCATCAGACCAACAGGACCGCCTTCTTCCCACCCACATTCCTGTTTCTCTTCCTGTATCCAGAAGCATCCAACTTTGTGGCCATCCTGCTGGGTATGCTGGTGCCCGCGGTGGTCATAGTGTCAGCAGCGATCAGAGAGTGTGTTTACAGGATGAGGAGGAGGAGGAGGAAGAGGAGGTGAGTCCTGGGCAGGGGTGAGGAGAGCCAGGTGGGATAGGTCAACAGGGGTGTGGGGAAGGACAGGTCTCACTGTAGGCCACACCTGCTCTCCACTGCCTCCTAGGGAGAAAATGAAGGACCAGAACAGAGGCCAGTTGGGGGACACAGGTGAGAGCCCACTCTGGGGCCAGCACCTGCACATCCAGAGCTGAGTCCACTTTGGAGGCCGGTTTTCTCCATTTTCCTCAGTGTTCCTCAGGCTGCCTTCAGAGCCACTCGGTTCTGAGTTGTCGTTGAACGTGGACATTAAAAAAAAATTTATTTTTGAGTTCTGAATCTCTATGATTATGGCAGAAGCAGTGGTCTGTGAGGTGGGTCTTTGGAGTTGAAACTGGAGGGAGAGTGGTGGGGGCCAAGGCCTGGGTGCTATTGGGCTGGGATGTGGCCCATTAGGAGAGCTTAGCATGCATGAGGCACTGGGTTCAATCCCCAGCAGGAGGAGTGGCAGGGTGGCTAGATCTGAGGAGGAAAGCAGCTTGTCCCTTAGAAGAAACCATGGGAATAGCCATTCAGCTCTGGGAGACACCATCAACAGGAAAGGCAGAAGGCAGGGAAGTAGGTAGAATGAAGCCTGTGGCCTGGGGTACAGGAGAAAAGGCGCCACAAGTCCATCTTTACTCAGGAACCCTGCTTCTTGGAGGACAGGCCTCTGAGTTCCCCACTAAGGGGAATAAAAAGTCATTTGAGAAGCCCTCTCTGTATTTAGGGAAAGGGGGGTTACTGGGGATTGAACTCCGAGGGGCTTTACCATTAAGCCAAATCCCCAGCGCTTTTTTATTTTTACAGGATCTTGCTAAATTGCTTAGGGCCTTGCTCAATTGCTGAGGCTGGCCTGGAACTTGTAGTCCTCCTGCCTCAGCCTCCAGGCACCACCCCCTGGCATGACCTCTATGTTTCTAATGATGAAACTCACCCCTGAGTGAAGGCTAAGGATGGGGTTGTGGCTCTTTCGCGAAGTGAATGGCCCTCAGGGAAGGAGTCCACCCTCCCCATTTCTCCACCCCCCCAAAAGGCCTGGGAGTTACTTTGGGAACTGAGGATGGGGTTGGGGCCAGTTTTGGAGTAGGAGTGGGGCAACCCCCAGCCCAGGGTGAGATTGAGGGGCTTACTTTCTGCCCCTCCCTTGCGGGTGGGGGCTCTGTCCTCCCATCAGGTAGCCTGGGAAGACAGGCTGGCCCATCCTGCTTGGGCTCTAAGGGAGACAGGGAGGCCGAGGGAGGGTGGGGGTGTAGGTTCCTGACAGTCTGGAACCTGGGTCTGGGTCTGTTGGAGCAGGATAGACCGAGATACTCCAAAGATGTGACTCTGTGCTTACCCTAGAAGACCAGCTCTTCAGCAACTTAATGGGGAAAGGGCCCAGGAAAGAAGGGGTGCCCTGGGCTGGCCACCCTGCCTGGCATGGCTCTCACTCCCTTGGTGGAGGAGCTCCACACATGGGGCAGCAGGGCAGCCTCTAGAATTGAGCGGAGCATCGTGGGCTCCTGCTGCTGCCTGCCCCCAGCTCCGCTCCTGCACCTGGACTTCATCTTTGCCTGGGCTCCATTTCTGCCCTACAGCCTGGACTTCATCTTTGCCTGGGCTCCATTTCTGCCCTACAGCCTTAACCTTTATTCCTTCCCCCAGCAGCCCTGGAAGGTTACCTTATCTAGCCCGGAAGTCTGTTTGGCAGGGGCAGAGGGTTGGGGGTGCTGGCCTCTGGGTGGACCTACTCCCTCAAGAAGGACAGAATCCCTTCCACCCCATCTTGGGGAATCAAAATACATCGCCAAGGGAGAGAAGGGGCAGAGGACCCAAGAGCGTTAGGGACTCCGTAAGAGGGCTGAGGAGGTGGAACCAGCTCACTGTCCCAGACCCAACCTGCACTGACCCCAACATGACAACAGGGGGCGATGGGAAGCAGAAGTGGAAAAAAGCTGCTTCAGGTAGTAGGGCTGGCCAGAGCCTGCCTGCTGGTGTCCTACTGGTAGGGAGAGGAGGCAGAGCAGAGCAGGAGTGGGGGTAGACCCCAGCCTCATCTTCCAGTGTGGGGAGGACGAGTGGGGGATGGGGGTGGGCAGACACTCAGTTGGTCCCTCGCTCCCCAGGCTGGGAGAACCTGCCTGGGCGGCATACTGAATGAGGGAATTGTCCTCCAACTGCCCGCCATCCACCATCCAGCACACACGTGGGGGGCCTCTTTAGCCACTCCCACCTCTTCCCTTCCCCCACAGCCAGTACCTTCTCTCCCCAGTGGCCTCTCAGCCAACCCCAGCTGTCAACATCTGGCCCACATCTGTCTCCCCCTCCAGCCGTGCCCCCTCCCTTTCAGAGGGCTGCAGGGCAGGGCTATGGGCTCAAGGCCTCCCTCCCTCACAGCCCCCAGCCAGGGCTAAGAGGAACCAGGCAGGGGTGGGAGGGGGCAGCCCCACCCCGGAGATGCCCCAGGCTCTTGGCACAGCTAGCTGGAGCAGTTAGAAGCAGCTGCCGGTGACTCATCTCCCAAGGCCCCCACCCCACCATCTCAAACACGCCCCAAGCTGGGAACTGAGTACTCAGGCCCCCACAGCTCCGCCCTGACCCAGACCCCACTGTCCTTGGAAATCTAGTCCATCCTGGCTCGCAATCACCCCCAGAACTGGGACATGTCCCATTTTCTTTTATTTATACAAAAAAAGTTTCTTTTTAAATATAATTTAAGGACCCCTCCAAGCACCAGCGTCTGTCTCTGGTTTCCACCACAGCCCCCCTTCCCCACACTTCCCTCACTGACACAGCTTGGGGGGATTTGGGGGGCAGGGAACCATCTGGGACTGTGGTGTGACCAAGGCACTGCTCTGGAAACAAGACACTTCGAAGGGTCCCTGTTTCAACCTTGGGCAAAGGAGGAGAGGAGAAACAGGTGCCCTCCAAAACAAAAAATAAGGACTGGGATGGCAGAAAAACAAAACAGAAAGAGGGGAGGGAGGAAATGAAGATCAAGAACAAAAAAAAATAAAACTCAAGAACCTTCAATATGAAGGCAGCAGATGGGGGAGGGGCATTTACAAGGAAGAATGATTGAGTTCGGTGGCAACAGCAGCAAGTCGGGGCATCAAAGATCAATGACTGTGTCATTGCATGACACCCCTTCCTGCCTCCTGGGACAGCGCTCCACTCCCAGCTGGCAGGCTGGTCACCCTCTCTTTGGTCTGCAAGAACATGCCCATGGAGGTGAGGGAGCACCTGGGGAAGCTGGGAGATTATGGGTGCTTCCTTTCCCTCTGGTCACACCCAGTTCTGGGGGAAAGGTGCCCTCACCCTGGGGTTTGGGGTTTCCCGCCCGGAGGGGACGGGATATGATATAGCACAAACCCCAAGTCCTGTCTCTCCAAATTGCCAACTCTCCACACCTATGGGTTCAAAGTGCAATCCAGTGGGGCCAGGGATGGGGGCCTCTGTGAGACCCCACCCGACTTTACCCCAGGAAAAAGGGGAGGCCATGCCCCTGGGGTGAGGAATTCCTGGAGGTCAGTACTGAGGGGCTTGTCCTGTCCCACCCGGAGCTCCAGGCTTGGCTTGGGACTTCATATGCTGGACACTGGCCAAGATTTTCTTCTGGTGTCCAGCCAGAGTGACTCCAATTCGGAGCAGATCCCTGTGGAATAATAGGTCTAAGTGAGCCATAGGGCTGGGGGGGGCACCCTTCTTGCTTAGTTCCAGGCCCCCCCCACCCCACCCTTTCTCGGCTTTGGAATTGTCAGCCAATCAGGAAGGCCAGTGGGGCAGACGGGTAATAGGTCATTAGTTATAGGGCAGTTTCTATGTAGGTGCGGGTCAGGGGTGTGGGAGGATGGCCTTGTGTGCAGCTGCAGTAGGTGGTGGGGCTGGGTCTCAGCTCGGTCTCTCCAAAGGGTGGGGCATCAGGGCGGAATTGCAGAAGCACAAAGTGGCAGGGGGAGAAAAGGCCGCACAAACTGCTTTAGAGGGGAAAGGAGAAGTGAGAATAAATAGGCCAGGAAGAGAGAAAGGAAGAACTGGGTGGAGGGGAAGGGGAAGCTCCTGGTTCCCAGAGTCTGAGATAAGGGACAAAGGAGGGTGAGACTGGATAGGACCCCGAGACAGGAGAAGCTGTAGCAGGTTAGGGAGGTGAGACCCTGGCCCAGCAGGGCAGGTGGGCAAGGGACTGGCCTTGCCAGGGTTCCTCAGACTCCAGACTTCTATTGCTATTACTCAAACCTGGGTAAGTAGAGGCCTTGGGAGAGAAATGGGAAGGCAGAAAGGAGGAGTCCCAGGGGCCAACCCGGGGAGAAGAGTTGTTTGGGAGGCCGTGGAATCATAAAACCATTTAACATTAAAGCCGGGAAGGATCTCCAAAACCTTCTCCTTTTATGGGTGGGAAAAGAGAAGCGGAGTTGACACGTTAGGGTGAGAGTTGGGTCTGGAATGTAGATAGAAGCACAAAGATAGATACAAACTGGGAGCGGAAGGGCTGACCCGGGCTGAGGCGGCTCCGGGAGATGAGTGGGGTGTGCTGATCCCCGAGGCCCCTGCGGGCAGCCCCGGTAGCTGTTACTACTTGGGGGGTTACTCTAGGGACGTAGCTGTTACTACTTGGGGGGTTGCTCTAGGGACGCTCTGGAGTCCTTAGCTCTGCTCCACGGAGGGGATACTGGCCCTGGAGGTTGACCCCAAAGACCCCTGCTGAACCTAAGGGCCTGGCTCTGGCCCCCTTGCTCGCTGCCCCCAGGTGCCCTCTACTTTCGATCCCTTCCACTTACTCGGCGGAGATCTGGCTGACCAGCTCAAAAGAGCCAAACCCAGCTGCTGCAAAACTTTCTTCGTATCTCCCCATCTTGATGGCTCGAAGCCATTCGCCCACAGAGCCAAAAGCCGAGTAGTGAGGCTGCCGCTGATCCAGGAGAGGGTGCGAGGCACTGCAGGGGGGAGGGGGGAATGCTGACCTCTGCTCTGGGGTGGGGGGAATGGGGGAAGGAGGAGGGCTCTTCTTTGGGGTCCTCACCCGCCATTCTCCCTGGCCACGATTTTGAGGCTGGCAGGGTTCCGGATCATCTTGTCGAGGGCGCTGACCACCTGGGGGAAGCGGGGCCGCGCATTCCGATCCTTCTGCCAACAGTCCAGCATGAGCTGGTGGAGGGAGGTGGGGCAGTCTGGGGGCGGGGGCAGCCGATAGTCC